CCAGAGCTCACAGAGGATCACGTCCCATATGAATGAAAAAGGTGTTTGTGTGTCTGTAAGCTGTGGCAGAGGTACACAGAGGATCTCAACCTTGTAATCATATTTCACCAACACATAGACATAATTTTGTTGTAAATGAAAATAATTATAGTTTTTTTCCACCACAAATGACAATTATCTGGCACACAGTAGGCTACAGCATACAGAATGTATGAGTGTGTAAGCCCATAACAATAGATACAGTGGACGCTGACCAGACACGGATGGGCCAAGGCAAACTAGAATTTTGTATGCAGTGTCTTGCAGAGTCTGCTGTACATAGAAAGACAGTACTGTGCAATATATTGACTGTATGGTCTGTGACTTAATTGCGTCATATCCAGAGAGATCGTGTTGGGTGACATGTCTACGTTCTCCAGAAAATGGCTGGGCAATGACTGGACCAAAATGTCTTGTCCATGAAGAGGAGAGATAAAACCATTACCTCACTCAGTCCCTTCTGATAAGATAAGGGAGGTCACATTGGCTGTGTGAATAGAGCGCCTCTAGTCCAGCAGCCTTTTATCTAAGCTTTGTTTAAGCTTTGTTGGGTCTTTTCTCCTCAGCTTGTCTTTTGGACAAAGCCTGTAGCTTTTGCCATCCTCCCGGCTAACATACTAATGATTTATTTACTGTGATTGCCTTCCGTCGAGATAAGGCTGAACTATTTTTAAAGCCTGCGTCTTGTAAACTTCCAGCTTTTCAAACGACACTGATGCCTGACCCCACAACTCGTTCTTTGTGACATCTCTTCCTATGTATTTTAAATGGATATAGTGTCTCGGAAATCATTTAATTTCATGGACATTTGACAGACAAAATTGTTTCTTCGTCTCAAACCCTTTTGTCTGCCCTGGCACATCTGAGCCTCCCTGGACATATTAAGCTGTCTGGCTGTTTTAGCTGTATTCAATCCAGGACACTCATTTGCACACATACACACACACACACATGCACATGCAGATAGTATTCAAAACAGCTGCATCTTGGTGTGTACAGCCACTCTATAAATGTCTTCCCAGGCCTCTGGCTCTGTGTTCTCTCTGCCCGTCCTGGCTGAATCCCCTGCCTGGCATCACATCTGTGGCCACAACTCCTTGGTCTGAGGATATGTGCTGTCTGGAGCACAAAAGCCTATTTTCCATGCTGTGGATAAAACAAAAACTGTATATGCAGATAGTTGCAGCGAAATGATGACCTCCATGTCAAACCATTAACCATCATGGACTTTGTTTGAGTTTTAAAAATAATACCTAATTGTTTCAGGTTAAACTGTGATTAGTTGAGTCACAGCATCACTAATAAGATATTAAAAAAAGTGTATTTTCCAGACACAAATTCAGAGCGTCTTTGTTTCAAAAAGCCAATCTGTGAACCAAGCTTTTTGTTTGTTTGTCTTTAAACAAAAGCCATTGACAGTTAACGCTGCTATTTGCTCTGCAATTCAACTGCAAATGTCTGCACAGCACAAGCATGTAGAATTGTGGGCCAAGCCATCTGGCCAGCACCGGTGCTGCTTATGTGTGCTTTTGGCCAGTGTGGATGGTTGCAAGCTCTCTGGCCTGTGAAATAAAGAAGAGTGAAAGAATGTGTTCCCATTAGAAATTAGGGTTTCCTTCCTACTCAGTAGTGTTCCACCGCAAGAACACTGCAGAAGAAAATGTTACGTGTAAATTGCTTTAAAATGTGGCTAAACTTCAAACTATAAAAAAACAAGTTCAAAGTTGTATTTATAATTTTTAAGTATCATTTCCAAGAACAATAGCACATAAACTGGAATGTGCACTAGATCCCTTCACATTAAAACACAGACTGGTGTGCAACAGTGACCCCCTGCTACATTAAATTACAGAGGAAGCATTTACTGTCTTGCATGTCTTCAGATAGCTTTCATCCATGTTTGTTTTTATGTTTTATATTAAGCAGGCGCATTTAAATATAAAAATTGCAGTAGGTTTTATTGTGCTATGTCTGTCCTGAGTAGCACTGATAGTGAAAGAAAGAATATAACTTACATGCTAGTCACTCACAGTAAGGCTAGTGGTCTCATAGCTACATTTGCTTCTGGCTTGAAATGACTGACAGTCACCATTCAACACCCACTCCGCAGTGTTTCAGCGCATAATAACATGATTGATTTGTGTGGACGAGCTTGTAGAGCCAGTCAGTCAGAGAACGTCAGGCGTGCAGTGGTGAGCTAAAATGTAATGAGTGGGAAGGTCTGTTCCTCTTTAGTGTTCTGATTAAACAAAAGATACTCACTCAAAGGTCTGCTCGCCACTTAACATGCAGACAGAGATGTCCTGCTGTACAGAGATCAACATATCTGGAATCTGAATGACTGAGACTCTGGGCTAAGCCACAAGCTGATTCATACACTAGATGTTTCTTAAATCATAAATAAATGGACGTTTCATAAAAAACTGCTGCTAGCTACAAGATGCTGCTAAAAACAAATGGCCTCCCCACATAAGCTTCAATTTAACCCCTGACTACAAAAAGTGTTCTTGAGGGAACCGTTAACTCTCCATTGACTGCTGCCATTTGAACAAAATGAAATAAACTGGTTAGCAGTAAAACAATGTAGTTTAACCTCTTGATAGCAATGATAACATTTTAATTACGTTTGTGATGTATTACACCCTGCCATATGTTGGGTCCAAGGTCCTTGTGTAAGGGCATATCTGTCAGTGAAAAATAAGCCCTGTCAGGCCAGTTGATTACTTGTTTAAAAATCACTTTAATGCTTGTAGTTGTTGACAGCCCGGGTCATGTAATAAATTATTCGTTTGGATAGATCCAGCTGCAGCATTGTCAACATTTCAACACAGTCCTTTTTTTGTTGTAAATCCAGAGATTTTAGAAAGGAAAAAGAGAGAAAGTAAGAAAGACAAAAGAAGAATTAGGAAGAACACAGCAGTGATCCTCTGCTAAAATGTTTCAGAGTGAGAATTAGCAGGTGGTTAATATATCACAGAGCTACACAGAGTCTAATCAGGATCCCAGCTGGAGGCGTAGCCGTGCTCTGACCCTGTGAAACGACTTTGTCCTCTGCCTCATCATCAGGGAGGTTGGGAGATCAAAAATGAAGTAATTTTTGGCTCTTCCAAAACAATGGAACGTGGATGTCATTTGTTCCGATAGCGTTCACACGGCTCGTCCCGGACACGGGTGTGAAACTGTACACCTCCCAATCAGATAGGAGCACTGTAATCAGGGGACAATCTTAATGACCTTTGTTAAATGCTGCTCCATCCATTCTCAGTCTGATCACACCGGTTCAATCCCAGAATTCAATGAAACAAATTAAATCCATTTTATTAATGATTACTCTTTTTTTTTGCCTGGAATGATGCAGAGCTGTAAAGGATGAAATTTAGACTTTCAATTGTATTTTACAACATTGGTTCTGTAGTTGATAAAGCACATTTTGGAGGTCGTCGTGGTATTTGTTTGTGATGTGTTTGTGTATTTGACATCTAGACATCACACTATGGGGAACCTGTCTGTTCTCTGAAACTCAAGGCAGGTTGAAGGTTTTAATGAGGGACTCAGTGAATAATTCATGTGCATCGATAGCATCTCATATCTCATTTGGATGGCCTGTGGCCACTGAGCGTCAAGGTAAAGTTAGTTTTAGACAGATCTTTGTATTTGTTCTCAGGTTTCACCTCAGTTATTTTTGATTCAAAGAGCCTGTATCCCTGCAGCCTGCACGTCAGAAGATTTCATCACTTTTCCAATATTTCTTCTCAGAAACTGAGTAGAGGTGAAGAGAGGTACTCTGTGAAGTAGCTGTGTTTAACAGAAGAGGGTTATGGAAGTACTGTATATTGACTGTATGCACTGTTGTACACTCACAGGTACATACAGTAGATCTCAAGTCAAGGATGGAAATGCACAGAAACATTCATCTGTAAACAAATTGTTTAGAAAAACTGTTCAACACAATACTTGGTATTTCTCTATAATAGGAGTTTCAAACGCTGATTACAGATCCCTGAAGATTTAAATTTTGATGTGGTGTCATAATTAAACTTAATGTCAATCTCAATGATATTAAACATTGTTTGTTAGATTTCAAAATTGCACTCAAAAAGGTTGCAGACCCCCAGCTCTACAACATAGGATATTAATGAGAAAATGAGCAGTAATTAAAGTCCTCAATTATTATTTATTGAGAATGTAACACTCAGAATGTCAGTAAATCTGTGACTGTGTGGGAGTGTTTGGTCAGATTTGATTGACAGTGCTGGCAGAAGAAGCAAACAACCTCTCAACTGTCTTCAGATTTTGATCCAAGTGTTACTAAACACTGATCAGTGCAGCAGAGCGTCGCATCACCTTTTTCATTCCAACTAATAGGCAACAATAACTACAACTGAAAGACAAAAACACAAATATAGAAATATACCATGTGAAACCACCAAAACTGTTCAGACTTTGGCAGAAAATAGTGTGTTACTGTAGAACCCCATCGCTCATTGTAAGAAGCTGATTAAACCTACCTACCTTAAAAGTTTTGACTAAATGTGCCCGTTGATGCTTATTTTGCATGTAATCTGATTCTAATTGCACGCCGTGTTCACCATGAAGTTGTTGTTGTTGTTTTGAGTGACTCTTGAATTGTAAAACTCATCAAATGAATGCCTCTTTAATTCGGAAGGCGTATCAGACTTTCTGGCTTATTGTTACGACTCTGACACGAGTCTGCTGGAGTTAGAAAAGCGCCAGTGGGTCGTTTTGCTGCTCTTTTGACTTTGGTGTATTTTTAGCAACACTTCAGCTACTGTATTGTTTAAAAGTGGAGCTCAGTTCAAGGAGTTACAGACGGTTGCTGCTTTTTTACTATTAGTATTTAGCTGACTTATTGTGATGCCCCTGCTTAATGTGTAAGTTGTTTCACTTTAATATTCTTCCCTTTTTTTCATTACTCCCCTATGTGACTTTTCTCTTCCCAGACATGGAACACGGTGTGCAGGAGAAGTTGCAGCTGCAGCAAACAACGGTGTGTGTGGTGTAGGTGTGGCTTATAATGCTAAAATTGGAGGTGAGTGAAGTATACCATTGGGATTTTTAAATTGGGAACACTGTGTAATTAGAAATAATAATAATTTAAATGAGTTTTTATGTGATCTTAATTAGAAATTATATGCACAATAATATTCACATTCAAACTAATTAAGGTAGATGTGGATTTCTTTCAGCTAGGCTCCCTTTAGTGTTGGACCTGAATCAGAATCACAGATTTAGCTCTGTCTTTCCATTATGCTTTAGTAACCCTGTAATAGATTTTCAAACTGATATTCATAATCTTTTTTTCTGGACCGTTGGCATTTTACAAACTGATTGACTGTCTATTGTTTAGATGCAGGAGAGTCAAGGTGTGCCGCGGCGATAGGCAAGAGCGCAATGTGAAGTGTCCTTGATCTGCTGCCACTGAGAAAAATTGCTTTTGATCATTTCCGGCAGGTTCTCCATGAGTAGATCATGGCTTCAATAGGACTGTCACATGCTTGTTTAGTGACTTTCATATCTGAACCCGTCTTTTTTCTTTTTCTTTTTAATTCAAACCAGCACATTTTAAAACTTAACCTCCCTTTATTGGACACTTGGCACTGAAAATCCAGTCTGTCTTCCATCAATTAGATAAAAAGCAAGTTAAATTTTTTAAGTGTTTTGTTTAATCCTTTGTGATGGGGGAACAATCTAAGTTTAGTATTATGTGGATGCCAAGAAAGCACAACACAGTGGACCTCTTTTCATACCACTGTGTTAATCCTCAGCCTAAAAAGCAGGTCAAAATAAGACTGTTAGGGTAGGCTCCTGTTTCAACAGTAATAAAGCTGTCAGCATGTCCAGATATGCATTAAGAAAGCAGATACTCTTTTGTGATCACGAATTAAGTCTAAAAGGATGGCTGGGGTTGTCTCCTGAATTTTTTCCATTTGATAAAGTATTCCAAGGGGGCTGTTAGTAACTTTTGTCACCAAACAATCTGTCAATGACATGATGGCAGCCAACAAGACTCAGCGGAGCCAGTGGAGCCATGAGCAGTCCTGTTCACAGATGTTACTCATAACTCTCCTTCTTTGTCTTCATTACCATTCATCTCCCGATGGAGCCGTGCATTGGCCCCGCTCTCATAAATTAATCCTCTGTGAATCTGTTCACGTCTCGGGGGTCAGTGGATTGTTTATAAACAGTTGGGATTTGTTCCCAAATACCAATGCGGTGTGTGTGTGTGTGTGTGTGTGTGTGTGTGTGTGTGTGTGTGTGTGTGTGTGTGTGTGTGCGCATGCACAAGCAGTCACGTTTATGGGGACACATAAATTTGCGTATCCTTACCGAGCAGTGATTAGTGTTTAAAAGCTGTAATTGACCCTACTTGCCTCACTTGGTGTTTCCAACCTCCTACTGTACCTGTTTTCCCAACACACACACACAGATAGCTGCATTCCTACTCGCTACCTCTGATTCACTGGAGCTGCAGGGAACTCGCACAGCAGTCGCTTAATAAGGAATGGATGAGCTGCAGGAAGTTGATGAGAGTTGTTACGACAGTTATTATCTGCTATTACTGCTGCAATACAGCCCGGGCATAATGATCACCGAGCAAACATTGTGCTTTATGTTGCATGTTTAGTAAAGTTTTTTTTTTTTTTTTTTTTTTCTTCAGGCTTCTCAGTATTCAAACTTGTGTTACGCCGAATTCCCGCACCAACAGAGTAATTACAGCTTTGGCTCCATCCCTACTGGCACATGTTTGTGCCTGCAGGGCCAGGCAGGTTGTCTAGAATGGATTATTGAAGTCTTAATGTGGGACGTCGTCTGTCGTAGTGTTACCTCTGAGGTCCTGGGGTCCTCTCCCAGTAATGGACCTTATTTGAGGGAGGTTCATTTCATGCCTCTCTACAACCATTAATGTTCAGACGAGTGATCTGAGGCTGCTCACTTCAAAGGCTCAGACAGGGTTGCGTTCAGGTATGATGAAAGGTGACATTTGGTGCTACCCTGTGGACACGCCAGTCTGTTGAAGGCTCTGTAAACTCTCTGCTCATCTATATCTGTGTGAGTGTGTGTATGTGTGGCTTTCTCTCTTCTGCAGTCTGTTAGATTCATCTACTTGTCCTTTCTGTGGGTTTGGTGGGGTCAGGAAACGGCCTTTCTTGGTTTAACAACCAGCAGGGTTTTTGTTTATGTGACAGTAAAATAGTGTAGTATCTGTCGGAGCAGCATCCGTGGGGGAAGCAATGTATGCTTACTCATTAAAACTGGAGCTGTGAAGTCTTTATTTTTCTCCTGTTTTTCTGTTTTGTTTTAAGGTTGTTGTTTTTTTAGGCGGAAGGATAAATGGGTATTTGCAGTCCGGCCGATTTATTTCAGTCTTATTTGGACAAGTTTTCTTTTCTTGCCATCTCATGCTGTGTTTTGTCACCTCTCCACCATCTGAAGCTAAAATTCCTATGCTCGCTATCTCTTTTCCTGAGAGATAAAACTTCATACGCTCACTATCTCTCCTCCATCTGTCATTCTGTCTCTCTTGCTCCACCACGTTTCATGCCTCTCTCATTTGGTCACTTAATCTTCACCGCATTGCGTGTTCATTTTGCAGGAGTTCGTATGTTGGATGGAGAGGTGACAGACGTGGTGGAGGCCCACTCTCTTAGCCTCAACCCTCAGCACATCCACATTTACAGTGCCAGCTGGGGTCCAGAGGACGATGGCAAGTCACTGGACGGCCCTGCCAAGCTGGCTAAGGAGGCTTTCCTCCAGGGAATCACCAAGGTCAGTCAGAGCAGAAGCTTGGTCTTTTAATCTACTAATATCTTTTCTCGTTTCTTACTTCATGCATCGCTGTCAAACTCACATCAGCTCTTTGACGTAGGTTTGTCCTTTTGTTCTGCTCAAAAACAGATGAGAAGGTTGATACCATTCTCATGTCTGTAAGGTAAATATAACCCTGAAGCCAGCAAACAGTTCATTTAGCTTAGCAGGGGGTAACAGCTAGCCTGGCTCTGTTTGAAGGTAGCAAAATCCGCCTACCAGCACCTCTAAAGCTTGTTAATTCACTTGTTATACCTTGTTTGTTTTATCCACACGAAAACCAAAGTGTAAGAACAGCATTGCACCATTTTACAGGGATTATGTGCCAGAGTATTTCTCTGCCATTCTAATGTCAAAGTCAGTTTCTCTTTAAAACCGTGTTTCCCATACCGTTTCCCTCGGCAGTTGGGGTTAGGGCATAGGATAAATGATGGTTTGGCATCACAGAGATGACTGGTTGGGGTTCAGGTAAAGCTAAATTGAGGTTAAGCATAGCAGAAAATGACTGGTTGAATTTAGGGATCAATCTGGGCTCAGGTTAAGGTAGAGGGAAACACTAATTGATGGGGAAACAGACGTGCTGAGCTTTAGAGACGCTCTGTCCGGTGTATTTTGTTACTTTTGGACAGAGTTCCCTGTTTCCAGTCTTTATGCTAAGCTAAGCTAACCAGCCGCTGGCTCCAGCTTTTTATTTACCGTACAGACATGAGAGTGGTATTGATCCTCTCATCAAACTTTTGGCAAGGAGGCAAATTCTGTGAGCGTATTTCCCAAAACATCAAACTATTACTTTTAAGCTACATACGGAGCAATTTCTCTCATGCAGCAAAAAAAAAGCAGTTAGAAATTTGAGGGGGTTTTTTCACCATAAAATCATACACTATAAATATTTAATGGAGGATATCTCTCTGAGATGTATTGTAGAAAACGACATACTCAAGGTGAGTTTAATTGCTCTTTGACTCGTCCTTTAGGGTTGGATAGAGTAAGACATTAAAGAGTATGACCTAGTATCTAAGGCTAATATCATCATTTCTCATGTGTCAGCATGTTACATCAAAAGACCTTAGCGGAACAGCTAAATGATAAATGTGAGATGAGAGAAAATAGAAACGGAGCAGCAGGCACTGATGCAGAACAATAGTTAGATTCAAAGACCGCAGTAATTAGCGTATGAATGAATGAAACTGCAAATTTTTCTTTAGAAAAGAATGATTTATATGTCACATCCCAAAATGTGAATTGCTCCACATATCACGGTGTGTTAGTGGGGAAAAAATGCCTGACAGAAGCCCAACAGGACCTTTCTGGTTCAGCATGTGTTCTCTTGGCAGCCAGATAACCCCTGGCACTGAAGTGGTATCTTCTGGCCTCCACAACCTGCAGCAAAGACAACATCAGGTCATAAATGGGCTGGAAGGTTTAGGAGTATTAGCCATAGCTTCAAGACTCTTGTGTTAGGATGCAGTACAGTTCAAACAGCACTATACATGGAGTGGGATATTTTTGTCTGAACAGACGTCATTTGTGAGATGGAGATGTAGGATTCCTTTAAAGAAAATGAAAAGGATAATCCTGTTTTTTTATTATTTAACTCTGCACAAGCTTGTTTAAAGTCTCTGTTCAGTTCAAATTGAGGTCCATTTGTACATGTAATATTTGATTAACCATGCCAGAGAAAACAGGGTTGTAACAACAGTGATAAGAAAGCAAAGACTCCAGTATCTGTGAAGCCACAATACTGGAACTGATGATGTGACAGGACTTTTATTTGTTTAAGAAAGACTCAAGCCGGCAGAGAGCAGAGCAGAACAGAGTACAAAACATTTTTGCAGCTTTTTCCATCAAACACTCTGACTGAAAACAACAAGTTTTTTTGTTCCTTTTTTTGTAGTGTTGAGTATCTGTGTGTGACTAAGAGGGTGGAAGAAGAAATGGTATACATTTGTTTTCTCTCACCAATTTCTTACTTGCCATCAACGGTTTCATTGTTGCTGCTCTCTGTATGTGGGATCCAGAAGCAGTCCCACCACTTTCTTTTATCTGTTCCCTTCATCAAATGTACTTTTTAGCTTCTTGTTTTGTTCTCCAAAATGAATATTTAATCCGCCCACTTGGTTCGAACTGTAGGTGGGAAGAAGAAAAGTTTTCATCTTTCAATTTTATTCGGAATGCCACAGTGTCGGAGTTGCCACATTCACACTTTGATGAAAGACTTTACTTTAATTGTTAAATTAACTTTCGAATCACAGGGTGTGATTAATGCTGAATAGAAATACAAGTTGCGAGTAGATTGTGATAATAACCCTGTATTTATTTGGCACCTCTCAAAAAACGTGTTTCACAGAAGAATAAATATATATATCTGTTTCTGAATAAAGATGGAGAGATCTAGGTCTAACAAAGAAGAAAAAAGTGCTTGCCTAATATATATTTTACTTACTAAGAAAAGCATAGAGGAAAAAAATAAACTAAAAAAATGAAATAAAAAACCTGTAAGACTTGGACAAAAGAACACCCTTCTCCACCCAGAGGCTATTCAGATGCCCGGCTGCCCTCTGTCTCCAGCCCAAACCCAGGGGACATTGAGCAACAACTGGTCAGCAGACCTCAGGCTATTATCAGCTATGCACTGAGAGAAAGAAGGTCAGCAATGTAGGAAGGGGACAGACCAAATCAATTCTAAAGGCCACAGGTTACCAGTGCAGGGAGGCAAAAATTGAAAAAATGTGCAACAAATTTCTACAACTTGGGATGTCCCTGGCAACCATCGATCTTTGAAGCATAAAGATTTGTTGCAGTCTAATCCAACAAATGTATAAAAACGAATTTGTGTTTTGGAAAAGAAGGAACAGTATAATCTGCACTGGCATAAAACACCCTTTGTTACTTGCTAAAATGTTTATTTAAATATTAATCTGGGTCATAAACCGGCACAAGCGTTCTAGCCTGCTATTGGCAGTCTAGACCCAACAGGATTAAATGTATGTCTCATATAGTATGTGTGTGTATTTTAGGAGCATGCAATCTCACTGCCAGATATCATGTTGTCATTTATCAGGCCCCTAAATTATATTCAGCCTGAATAGATTTCGTAATTACATTTCTCCTGTTTATTATCCAATGTTCTGCCGCAATAAGTCGCCTGACATTATGATGTATTAATAAGAGTTGTGCCTAAAGCGGCTCACTGTTTTCATACGAAACACGTAAGTGACAAGGCGTTTAAGCAGTGAGAAAAACTTCTTTGTCAATGGCAATTTTTCACACTTAACCAGCTCTTATTAATCTCTTTCTCTTATTTTGTGCAACAACTATATGAGAGTATGTATGTTTCTATACCGCAGGGACGTAGCAGACTAGGCTCCATCTTTGTGTGGGCCTCGGGTAATGGTGGCCGGGAGCAGGACAGCTGTAACTGTGACGGCTACACCAACAGCATTTACACCCTGTCCATCAGCAGCACCACGCAGTCCGGCAACGTGCCGTGGTACAGCGAACCCTGCTCTTCCACCCTCGCTACCACCTTCAGCTCTGGAAACCCGGGGGAGAAACAGATAGTGGGTGTACATACACACACACTCACACTTTGAACATCTCAGATTTGGTGTAGGTTGTTTTGAGACTTCAAATCTTTAGCACACTGTAAATGTCAGCATTGCAAAAATAACCGAACATCTCATACCTTACATCAGCCTTATCAGTCAGCCAAAAGTTGATGCAGGTACATCCAAAAATGAACCTTTTTTTGAGTGTACCCACACATTAATCTTGTCTCTCTCAAAGTAAAAATAAGCATCAAACTGTCAAAATCAAAGTGACTGATGTGTAACATACAGTGAGCAAAGCTGACAAACACTGAGAGATGCCACATAGTTTCTTTAAGCTGCTTGTCAGCTGAAGAAAAACATGCCTTAGGGACATACAATAATATAAAACAACCATAAATCTGCTATTCCCTCCAAAATACACCAGAGGCATGCTGCAGGCAAGCAAACACAACTCATCAAATGGAAGTCATTTTAAATCGGCAGTCGCTTTGTATCTTTGCTTTATCAGTCAGAAGCTGTTATTTGTTGTATCAGTGAGTTCACGCAGCTTTCTTTTATCCAAAACTAGTGTTTATGTTCACTTTGGTGGATTTTTATGTTTGGTATATTATTTGTGTCTAGACTGTCAAATTACATGGAGAGCAGGCTTTTAAACAAATCCAACGCAGACTCTCAAGTAGCTCATTTACTGGACAGATTTGGCACTGGGTATGTGTTATTAGATATTTAGAAAATGTTTATGTTTATATTTGCAAAAATAAAAACTTTATCAGTGTAGGGCTTCAACTATTATTTTAATTGTTGATTAATCTGTTATTTGTTCACTTACTGTAATCAATTAATTAGTCGTAGAATAACATGTCAGAATATAGTCAAAATGTTCCCAGATCATGGTGTCAGATCACTTGTTTTGTGAAATACTCTAATGATAGAAACCTGAGAAAAACAGACAATGCTCATATTGGAGAAGCTGGAACCAGGTAATATTTCCACTTTTTTCTCAAATGACTTTACCGGTAACTCCATTGTTGCCAGTTTTCTGTCAATTCATGCTTTCAACACTAATCGCTTAGTACAATCAAAAACAATGAATAAAATATAACAGTCTATTAGTGTTGTTTCATCCAATCCAACTGAGATCCAACAGTTGGCTTGCGCTGGCACCTGCCCTCTCTTTGTTTACCCCTCTGACACATAGACTTTCTACAGATAATGGTCATTAGTGCCACAATCTGTCAGGCCAAAAGTTGCAAACCAAGAATCTGTCCATAACCTTCACAGCTCGCCTTGCCCTCTGGCTTCTTGTCATTTCGGACGTGTCCCATCGTGACCCAGACAGGCCTCATTAGCTGGCATTGGCAGAGACCGAGAGCAGAGGTATACCCGGGGTGCTAACATACTTTGCCTGGCCTGGCTGGGCTGATTTGGCTGACATTCACTGCCCCGGCTGTGACCCTTTGGCAGGAATCCACAGACCCGAGACTGAACCTACCTGCTTATTCTCCTCCTCCTCCTTCCCATCTCCGATTGCTGCAGGCAGACCTCCCATTGTCCGCGGTCCTCCACTGTCTAACTCAACCTCTTTCACCGTGAACTTCACTCATACTGAAGTGGGAAACTCAATTTGTCATATTAACTGTGTCTCTCTCTGTATTTCTGTGCATTTCATTCTCTCTCCTCCTGTCTCCAAGGTGACCACAGACCTGAGGCAAAAATGCACAGACTCTCACACGGGGACATCTGCCTCGGCCCCACTGGCTGCTGGGATAATCGCACTGGCTCTGGAGGCCAAGTGAGTGAGAATGACAAAGCCTCCTCTTATAAGCATAAAGCTATTTTTGTAGTCAGCCCTGTAGCCAATACACTTATACAGTAAAAGAAATCAAGAAAATAAACACAAAATTTGAAAACACAATTAATTTTTTTGTATACTTGATTTGTTATGCTTTGTTATGTATGTGTGTACGTGCGTGCACTCACGTCTGGAAGTGCGCACACACGTCTGGGAGTCGGCGTTGGCCCAAATCCCAGCCCAGAAATTCTTTCCTCAGCAAATTAAGCTTTTGATAATCAGTTAATTAGCAAGACAAATCAGCAGCTGCAGCCCACACAGACATCTGAATACCTGTAGGGCCGGTAGTGAAGATTTTAAACTCGAGAATGTCTCTCATTATCGCTCATTCAGGACTCCAGGTGTCAGAATCCAAGTTTCTGTCAGCAGCTCTAATGTCTTCTCCGTTGTGTTCGTATCTTTAGTCATATCTTTGTGTGTGTTAAGCCCTCTTATCAGTTAGCGGTCTTCCGCTCGTGCATAATTTGTCTTCATTTCCGCATTAGCGATTAGCTGACAGGTGTCAAATCAAATCCAGTATCACCTCACAGCCCAGTTTCAGTTCAGGTATACGTCCTCGGCGTCCCAGGTTTATCTCAGCACTGTCACCTCTGATATGAGAGAAAGGCAGAGCTGAGGTTTACACTATATAGACTATTTCTCACTTTCAACACCAAACTAGAGTCAGTATTTGTCAGGGAACAGCCCCCCTCCTGTCTGTACCCCCTCCTGACAGGCAGCAGTAATAACAGGGTAGCTAGTTTATCAGACTGGGACCACACTGGAATTCACAGAGATGGAATCATTTAATAGGCAGAGTGTTTTGGCTTTCTGGTGTTTTATTATTTTATTATTTTCCCCTTCGCTCTCAGCTGAGGTGACATTGAGTGGATGGGGGATCTTGTCCATTAATAACACATGAGAGAATGTGAGATGTGAATGCTGATGCGGAGGTGATGCGCCACAGTGCAATCCTGTGTTTCTATTTCAGTCGACTGTGGTGTTGCACCAATGTGATTCATGGTTTGATTATCTTAACCCATTTCCTCATTGGTGACTCAAAGGCTTCTCCTATGAATGCTTCTCTGCTGTGGCCCGTTAATAAATCTATATTGAAAAAAAAACAACTTTTTATTGGGCTTCTACTGTGTGGAAGGTGACCCCCCCATCCCCCAATCCCAGACCTCATTAGAAACTATCATTACAGAATGGTCTAGACAGTCCTCCACGGTATTGTATCCACTGTTTTACTGTGTTCCCTGACCTTTCAACTCAATAGGTTATGATGTTCCTTTAATACTGGTGTTCTACTCTGGCGTTAAAGCCATAGTGTGAGCCCATATCTTTGTTAAGTTTGACTGACATACCCTCCAGGGCTTCCTCCATGTCTCCGTCTAATATTTAAGAAATGTATAGCTGTCTTCACAGTATATGCTCAGCTGGATCACATTTCAGGCGTGTCTACAGAATCCTGACCTTTTCCATATCCCATAGCTCCTCACATTTCCTCCGCTGTATTGTCGTACAGTTTAGGTCAGCGAAACCTGGATTTTTTCCTCATAATGTGAATAATGTAGAAAGTAATACCTTCAGCTATTACATGACAGAAAGTCAATGGTTACTCTGCTTTCCTTCCCGTGTCTGTGCAGCATGAACCTCACTTGGAGGGACATGCAGCACCTGGTGGTGAGAACGTCCCAGCCCGGACATCTCAGCGCCATAGACTGGAAGACCAACGGAGTTGGGCGCAGAGGTACAGCCTGGCTTGTCCAAATCAAGCACAGATGGTATTATGTGGTGTTATATTTGTGCCTCTATCCTGAGCACACAGTTGACATTTGGACCACAGAAAAACACTGTAAACACTTTATCATGCAAAAGAATAATTTAATTCAAGCAAACAAAACTCTATTCTGTGCACAGTAAATCTATTTACGTTTGCTATTATGCACAGTAATAACCTCTGTCACTCAGTTTCAAGCTCTCTGTTCTATGTACTGCTTAATCCTTGGAGATTTGCTCTCTTAATGTCTTTGCCCTGTGCGCTCTCAGGTTTGCCTGCAATCTGACAAAGCATTACAGCGTGCCGCAATTTCAGCCAATCATAAAATTGGGGTGAAATATTTTAATAATTCATGATTGGCTTTTGCCTTTACCCCAGTTGCTAGTAGGCACACCAAAGCCACCTGTAAGTGTGCATATCTAGTTTTATTTTAAAATGAATTTTTTAACTTATCCAAACTATTCATGGTTTGAGGATTGCCAGCTACTGCATTACAATCATTAAAGCAACTACAAGGAACTTTCATTTTGTGTTGATTCTGGCTTCCCTGTGGACAAAAGCAGTAGTTTTTTCACTGCCTCGTTTCATTGATTTCAAGGGGAATCTTCTTACTGATGATCTTGTTTGTTTATGTAGGTCATATAGAGGCATCAGTATTAAATTGTGAGTGTTTCATAACCAAAAAATTCCAACTGAAATTCACTTGCATTTTTATTTGCTACATACATATCTTCTCTATATATCATGTGTCCTCCTTCAAGAAAATGAAGGTGGGATGAAATGCAATAAAAGTTTCATATACTGTAACAAGGAGCTCAAAACTGCACGGAGTGGTGTGCCTTGAATGACTCACCAGATGATTGGTATTGAGTTGAACAGCCTCACAGCTATAAGACAATATATATAGCGCTGCAATTTGTGTACAAAGAATGAAATAAACACAGAGCTCTTTCAAATAATTAAAAAGAAGAAAAAGAAAAGGTTTCCCTTTTTGAGCTGAAACATCAACTAAAATGCTCCTTTAAAGAGACCATGTTATGCTCATTTCCATTCTCATGCTCAGGTTCATACTTCTGTTTTGGGGGTCTACTAGAATATGTTTAAAAGCTTTAATGTTCAAAAAACCCATTATTTTTCTCATAATAGCCATTGGTAAACAACCTCTTTTCACCCTCTGACACACTCCATTTGACCTCAAAAAGCCCAGTCTGCTCTGATCGGTAATACCAAAGACACCAAACCAATTGAACCAGCTTTGCAACAAAGCCTTGAGTCTCACAGTGCTACGTTTTTGTAAGCTTTTATTTTGTAGCTGTTATATTGTTATATTCTATTACAGTTTGCCATGGCCTACATTGGTTTGCGGCAGTAACATTACATCTTGATATCAAAAATCCATCGCGGTATTTCAACACAATTTGCAGTTATAGTGGGCCTACAGCTGATTATCAAAACCAATAGATCACTACAGTGTTAACTAGCTTTCGCTGTGGGTGTACAGCCAACAGCTCTACACCTGAACACTCAGTAGTAGCTACCTTGTTGGTTGTAAAGATCCTGAATCTCCAGATCGCCCAAACAAAGTGCCCCGTCTTTCAAGTGCAACTGTGTGGCAAATACAACATCCCTTTTTAACGCTTTCATACATCAAATACACCGATCAGCCATAACATTATGATTACCTGCCGAATATTGCGTAGGTCCTCCTTTTGCCGCCAAAACAGCCCTGACCCGTCGAGGCATGGACTCCACTAGACCTCTGAAGGTGTGCTGTGGTGTCTGGCACCAACACGTTAGCAGCAGATCTTTTAAGTCCTGTAAGCTGTGAGGTGGGGTCTCCATGGATCAGACTTGTTTGTCCAGCACATCCCACAGATGCTGGATTGGATTGAGATCTGGGGAATTTGGAGGCCAAGTCAACACCTTGAACTCGTTGATGTGTTCCTCAAACCATTCTCGAACCCTATTTGCTTTGTGGCACGGCGCATTATCCTGCTGAATGAGGCTGCTGCCATCAGGGAATACCGCTTTCATTAAAGAGTGTACACGGTCTGTGCTTAGGTAGGTGGTATGTGTCAGTCTGTCAAGTAACATCCACATGAATTGGCCCTTCTCAAAGTCACTCAAATCCTCACGCTGCCCACTTTTCCTGCCTCAAACACATCAGCTTTGAGGACTAAATGTTCACTTGCTGCCTAATGTACCCACTGACAGTTGTCATGATAACCAGATAATCAGTGTTATTAACTTCACCTGTCAGTGGTCATAATGTTATGGCTGATTGGTGTATGTTACACTTTAAACATAAATTGGATTATCACTAATTTACATGTCCATTTTTCATAAACAGCACAATAAAAAGTGTTTAAACCCCAATAAACCGAATGATCTTAATATAAACACAAAATAAGTGCAATGCCCCTTTTATACTTCACCATGCTATAAGCTGTCATTAGCCGCATTAGCACTCTTTTAAGAACATAATACAGTGATATATCATTAACCAAAGCTAACAATTAGTTTAGCAATTAGCAATGGCAATCTTTTAACTAATACAATGATACAGTATCCACCACAGTAGGTTAGAAACATTAGAAAACATCACACGTCACATGACCCTGATTGTTTTTTATGAAAAGTATTTGAAATGTAACTGTATTTTCTCCTCACAGAAGAGCAAAGAAACACTAATAACCTGACTGAAGCTTTCCCGCTCATGTTCACGGTTGGGATTTTAATGAAAGAGCATCTTATTAGCATTGATAGATGGAAATAATCAAAGTTTCAAGACTGTTACGTGGCGTTTCATAACTGCAATTGTTTGGTTCACAGCACGTTTGCAACACATAGCAGCACTAGCTACCACTTCAGATGCAAACAGTGTGTTGCGCTCCCTTTTGGAAACAACATGCAACTACACCTCTAGATGACAAACCTACGTTTACACAACCCAAAAGCCACAGACTCTGAGCAACAACCCGCATTAGCTTTCCTGCTGAAGTCTCCTTCTAGTCCAACTTACAAACACGAACACATTTCGTCCTTCAGCTGCATCATATGAAACAGCATGAAAACTTGCCTGCAACTATACTTTTTACATGCTGGTGTGGTCCTTGCTCTCCAAAGCCACTGCTAACAACAAGCTGTTCGCCCGTGGCTTCTCCTGCCAGGGCTCAGCCTACCAGCTGCTGCCAATCAAACACACACATGCCCCCCCCCAACCTGCTCAGACTAAAAGGGATCATTGCTGATATTTCTCTAACACCTTTTTTTTATTCAATTCGATAACAAAAAATAATTAAAACAATTATATTATTGATAACATTATGCTTGACTTAAAAAAAGAGGTAAGTTAGTGTCATTTCAGTTGGACTTTAAGTTCCTGAACACAGTTAAAGTCAGTATTGTTGATTCATGATTGTGAGCTCAGGACTGCGGCACAAATATAACACCTCAGTATTACTGTAAAAAAGGGGATAGCTGAGTGACTGTGGTTTATCTTTCTGTGATGTTATCTCATTGCCACCACCCACCAAGCTGCCACTCTCTTCATCCTTCCATGTTTTTTTCCCCCTCCACAGTGAGTCATTCATACGGTTATGGTCTCCTGGATGCAGGTGCTATGGTGGCTTTGGCACAGAATTGGACCACAGTTGGGCCACAGCATCAGTGTGTTCACACAATGCTCTCAGAACCAAGGTTAGAAGGGTGACTTGAAGCTTGTGTGTGTGTGTGTGTGTGTGTGTGTATTTGTGTGTAAACTACAGTGAGTTTTAGTCTCATTATGAACACTTGGTGCTCTGTCATGCAGCTTAGCCTGATAGATGCCACCATATTCTGCTCAGAGCTGGGACGGACACGTAGGTTTGTAGCACAGTGCTATTGTCTGTGTCCGTTTCTGTAGCCACACAACATTAACCACTCTCCCCTGCACTTGTCAAACCTGCAGAGACATCGGGAATAAGCTCGTGTTCAGCAAGAGCGTGGATGCCTGCTGGGGACGACCGGAGTATGTCAGCTCTCTGGAACATGTTCAGGCTCGCCTCACTCTCTCCCACAACCAGCGAGGAAAATTGGCCATTCATCTCATCAGCCCACTGGGCACGCGCTCCACCCTGCTGTTCCCCAGGTACACAGTAAAACACACCAACCCACAGCCAATCCCGTATATAAGTGTCTCTCTCTGCTTGTGTCTTTTTTTACACACTCAAAAAAACACAATGCGCATGTATGTGTGTGTGTACCTAAATGTTACTTGTGAACAGATACTCACACAGACATATTCTCTGGGAAAAACAAACTCTAGGGCAGAAAGAAAAACACAAACATGTCATCCCTCCACTCTCTGTGTCACTTTCTTTTCTTTCAGGCCCAATGACTTCTCCTCAGAGGGATTCAACGACTGGGCCTTTATGACCACCCACTCATGGGACGAAGATCCTCAAGGGGAATGGACCCTGGAAATAGAGAACGTAGCAGCTAATGGACGTGACTATGGTAACCCCACTCATCGCCATTAATTGTTCAGTCTGGTCACATCACATCAAACCCACATTCATGCCATCATTAACTGCCCCCTCATCAACTCAAGTCTTCTTGCATATTTTTCATGCTTCTCTAAATATCCTCTCCTCAGTTCCTCTTTTCTTCTGTCCCATTCCCTCTCCAATGATTCAGTTTGTACAGTTTTTTGGTACCGGAGGGATAAGCTCTCAGAAATCTTAGGCAGAGAAATATTCTTCTGCAAGAAATCGGTTGGCAGCCTTTTGATTATCAACTTTATTATCTTGAGAATGTTTTTTCTTCGTACAACTAGTGGGCTCAAATTTCTTTCAAGAGGCTAACAGCGACACGCTGAGCAGAGTGAACTCGTTAAGTCCTCGACCTTTCCCGTGGCTTTGTTTACTGTGAGCGGCCAGGGGAATGAGATAGGAGCTCTATCCTCTGCTGGTGTCGATCCTCCTCCAGTGTTATGTTTGGGTCCGCTCTCATCATTTGTTTCCTTTCCTTCCACCCCCATATCCTCTTCTCAGCCAGTCCACACTGTTCCCTCTTTGAGAAGTGTTACATTTATATTCTCTTCCACATCTCCATACCCCCCCACCCCCCCCTCTCTCTCTCTCTCTCTCTCTCTCTCTCTCTCTCTCTCTCTCATTCCCTCTCAGGTGTGTTGAGTCAGTTCACCCTCATCCTGTGGGGTACTGGACCCAGCGTTGTCAACCCCTCATCGTCTGACTTCCCTCGGCCGTCCAACAACAGCTGCAAGACCTTTGATGCCCAGCAGATCTGCATCGGTGAGATCATTCGGGCTTCCAGTGACACACAAACCTTGAACAAGAGCCACTTAAATTGAATGGGCTCATTTGTATGAGCGCTGGCACACAGTCATTGTTACAAAACAGGCTTCTGGTCAGACCGTGTTGGGTATTTCAACTTGTGAAAAGCGAATGTTGTGAATACAGATTGCCCATTTACAAGCCTCCCGTGAATCTGTTTACGCTTGCACTATGAATATGCACATTGCCATATGTCATATTAGTTTAAATCAGAGTGTGGGACGTATGGAGGAGCAGCAGGGGAGATTAAAACTGCGTCAGTGCAAGAGGTGCTACGTTGTCAACAACTGTTGAGGATGACTCCCTCATTGAAAGGCAGATGAGGTTCGGAAGCTTCGTTCTGCTTCCAAGCATTCAGACACTTTCCTCTTAATCATTCCAGACTTCTCCATAATTTAGTTTAAATCTACATTTCAATAGTTGCTGGTGATGCTTTATTTTAAAGGGGGTTCCAGTTTTCTAACAACTTCCTAGAAATGAACTGTAAGGGTCCCGGAAAGGACATTGTAATTTGGTGGTAATTATATCTTTAAAGAGAAAAGACACAATGTTCTGTTGGTTACAGTTTCCATTTACTGGCTGAGGCCTTCTTTTAAATAGTTAAGCATCTTTTAGTTGCTCACAAGAGATATGTTGCCTAAATGTAGCAGTTTCTTTTTGGGTGGTTGTAAATTACAGGCAAGCTTCAACAAATATAAAGAATAAGATTACTAACAAAATAATATTTCTATGGGTTTACCAGTTCATTCAGTGAATTAGACTGAAATCAGTTCAGATTTTTACAGAATCACTTATATATTGTTATCAATTAATGATATTTTTTGTGTAATTAAAAAAAAACTCATTAGAGCTCAACTGATTAGCCGATTCATTTGTCAAACAACAGAAATTTAATTGCCAACTATTGTGATAATTAATTATTTTTGCTTGCTCAATTAGCTGCTTCTTCTTGTCTAACACTGTAAACTGAAATATTTTGATCTGACTGGTGATCTGAAAAAAAAAAAAGAAGCTATTTCAAGTCCCCACTTTGGGCTCTAGGGAATTGTGATCTTTTTTTTTTTACTGTTTTCTGACCTTTTGTAGACTAATTGATTAATAAATGAATTAAGAAAATAATCAGCAGACAGTTAAAGAAATAATGATATTGAAAAATAATTGTTTGTTGGTTTACATGAGACTTAACCTCCCTTATGCTTTCGTCTTCCACACTCCATCCAGAGTGCAGCCCCGGCTTCTCCCTCTTCCTCCAGGGTTGTATGAAGGTGTGTCCACCGGGCTTCACCTCGGGGCCTCAGCTCCTCAACCTCTCCCTGGAGAACTGGGTGGACTTGTCCTCCGTCCAGGCCTGCCTGCCCTGCAACCCTGCCTGCCTTACCTGTTCTGGCACCGGGCCTACAGACTGCCTGTCCTGCCCGCCTCACAGCCACCTGGTCCTCACCTCCTGCCTGCACCAGAACCAGGTCCAGCGTAAATCCCCACTAGCTGGGGGACTCCATGCTGACGAAGCCCAGCCAGAGGGTGAGATCCCAGTGGCGGCGCACGACAGCGTAGAAGGCGAGGAACCTCCGGGGTTCAGCGTAGCTCCGTACACTCAGCTGCCTGCCGTCGTTGCCGTGCTCAGCTGTGCCTTCATACTGGCTGCCTTCGTTGGGGTCTTCCTGTTGCTGCAGATGCGCTCAGGTGGCGCTTCTTTGGGCTGGAGGACCAAACTGCCCTCTGTGTATTCAGAGACGAGGGGGGAGCGGGTGGGCTTCGGGTTTGGCTTCGGCCAGGGACGGGAGAGGAATGCACGGATATGCTACAAGGGGATCCCCACTGTGTGGGGGGATGAGGACATGATCGCCTACCAGTCTGAATCAGACAGTGAGGAAGTGGACGGTCACAGCGAGAGGACAGCTTTCATCAAGACACAGAGCTCAATCTAGCTGAACCCGCATCTGCCGTTGTGGTGTCTGACACCACGACATCCTGCATCAGCATTTAGATCTGACAGTACGGAGCGGATACATGAAGAATCACGCAGGCTCAGAAAAAAAAACACAAAACGCAGGCCTTACTGTCCCATCAGCACCCCGTCTAAAATGTTTTTTTCATATATTTATTTACATTTGTTAATTTATCTTATTTGATTGATATTCTGATGTGAGGTGTATTCATTATGCATTTGACTCTTTGTCACCAATTTAAGGTGTTATGCTACGGGCCTATTTTTACTTTAACTACCTGCTTCATTTTGTCCAATTTGTCAATGGGGTATTTCAGACATTTTGTATTGCACTCCCACAGCGATAGGGGATGACAGACAGATTTAAATTGTCAAAATAAAAGCAGCAGAGGCCCAGATATGCTGACTATTTGTCCCAAAAACATTGAATCCTTCATTTTACCATAATTCAACTAAGTAGCATCATTTGTTAGAGCCCATCTGCCTGGTAAATGCCCATGTCTTTCAAACTCCACAACCCCAGTATCTGTAAAAAAGAAAAAGTAGACTTCAACAACCAGATCAGAACTTTTCTGATGACATCTTTGTGGTTATTTTTTAGGATTTTAAAACTTCTCCAGAACTAAAGAAGTCACGATACAACTGCTTTCACAGGCTGAGAAATACTCTCTGTGATGAGTAAGAACTAAAACTGTCCCTCAAAACCAGTGGAGTGCATTACTTCCCTTAAATAAATATGCATCTGATTTGTCCTGAACACAAACATCTGGCACATCTGCACAGGCAGTTCTTATATTAAATTTGCGGTTGTTATATTTGATGAGATTCCTGGCAGATTGTGGGCCAGGGGTCATGAAGTCAACATTGCTCTTCGTTAATAGTCAGAAAACTTTGAATTGAAGATTCCCGCAGAGTACTGAGACTGCGTAATGAAACATCCCACAGGCTGTTTGATGAGCAGGAAACTTTGGAGGATTCTCTGTTTTCAATCAAGGCACAGTGGGAATTGCCACAGCAGCATAGATATAGATATATAAATATATATCTATATCTATCAAGTATATCAGTCACAAAATCTTATTGACTTGTAGAACAGTAACACTGTTTTTTTGAATGAAATCAAAACACCACCTAGCCCAAAGCTGCTTGGCTGACCTTTACAACATTTCTCTACTTGGTTGCTGCTGGTAAGAAATAAGATCATTCTCTCTTCATTTTCCCCACAGAGCATTTATTGATTTTGGGTTTTTCTCCAAGAGCGTCTTCATCAGTTGTAAACCCCTTTCCCTTTCTATTAAGAGCGCCATACATTGAAAGACAAATACCTGCTTTATTTCCCATCTGCAGCGGTATAAACTTACTACTTACGCCACACGAGCTGAATCAAAGCCTTTCGGATCTGAAGGCCAGAATGCTGACAGTGATTAAGAAATGAAGAGATCTTGTCTCGCATTTTCTATGTTTGTTTTATATCCTTTTTTATTTAACTGACAATGGATGTTAATGTGGAGATCAGTTTCATGCTGGAATAAAATGACTTTGGCTGTTGCATAGATAGACTGTGTGTGTGCTTTTACTGCCAGATTTGAGCACCTTTGGGGGTTTTATGCATCCTAAATGCGGCCCCTGACACACAAACACCACCCAAGAGAACAGATGGCTCATCACTTCTTCATGGCCGTATATCATTGTTGCAAGTGTGTTCACTCTGGGCGTTTAGCTTTAACAGGGTGCCAGCATTCTGTCTTCTCCCTACAACCCAGTTGCAGCGAGCGCGCTGCCAAATAGCCTTCAAGAAACTGTTTTCTCAGGCTTCAATATGGTGTCCCCCTTAAAGTGTAAATTAATATAAATGGAAGGTTTGTATGCATGCGGGAAAACAATACCCGCTGGTAGGAGCTTTGTTCATTAGCAGCTTTCCTCTGTAACACCCTCTACAGAGGCAGGTAACTGGGTTCATGGGTGAAGGTACATTCATTCTGCGGCCCATAATTAGATCTGCCGGGAGAACTCGCTGCACAACTCAGTGCCCCTCGGATGCGCCATGCTTTGCATTATAAATGTTCATGTGTGAAAGTAACGGGGTCGGGGGGTGTGTGTGTGTGTGTATAGGCCCGTGTAGTTAAAGTGGATGAGTTTGAAAGCCTTTTATCTCATTCACACCTCCATTACATGTTTCTGTGAGCTGTGATCAGATTCTGTGCCGGTTCTTTCCCCTAGCTGTGCCCTTTAGCTTGTATTAATTAGCTGTTGTGTTCAGTACGATGCTGTCTGCTAACTAGGTTTGGCAACAAGAAATATTAGATTAATTAAAACAACAAATCAGTTCCCCATTAGCCGATTTCACATTCAGATCAATTGGACACCGTGGTTCCAGTCTCATTATTCCAGCTGGTCAAACATCATTTGTGTGTTTGTGCTGTATATGACAATAGCAGGGTGTCAGTTCTCCCTCCCCAATTTTGCAGAGAAAGGTTGAGAAATACAGTTGGCAGTCTGGAGTAAAATGCAGAGGCTGTGTGTCCCCAGGGTTCCTCCACAGGCGTCCCCCCCACACTCAAGACACAGACGCGCACACACAGACGCGCACACAGAGACACAGACGCGCACACACAGACACAGACGCGCACACAGAGACACACACAGACACACACAGACACACAGACACACACACACACACGCACACACACACACACACAGACACTTCCTCTCTGCTGCCCCACATCAGAGCACTGATCACTTTCAGGCCTCACGCAACCCTGCCACCACATTCTTTTCTTCTTCTTCTGTGTCCCCATTTTTATGTAGCCTGAACAAAGAAAAATGTGTTGTCATGTTAAGCTCAATGTTGTCACCGATACCGTCACAACACCTGCGCCCTCACACAGGGGTGAAAACACGCTGCTGTTAATTATAGTGCGAGCTTCTCTCAGTTTAATGTCAGGTTGAGTCCTTGGCAGCCAACCACTGACAAGTGAAGCATTGGACAGTCTAAAAGGGGGCTGATATCTCTAACACTTATCTGAGACTGACAACATCTGTAGACATAGACTGTACTGCTGTACCGACTCAACGTTGCCCCCTACTGATAAGAGAATTAGTCAAGCTCTTGAAGACACAAAAACAGCATTACAGAAGATTAATTTGTGCAGTCAAGAGACAAATTAATTTCAGATAAGAAGTGAAACTTTTTAAAAAGGACAATCTTGGTATTTTGCTCTTTATTCACTTCCCATCTCTTCTGTTTTACTGTAGCTTTAATCCATCTTTAATTAACAAATACGGACGAGACCTTGCCGTCATATATTACCTCTGAACAAAAAAAAAAAAAAAACAGCGCTACAACAGATATCACATTTAAAAAAAAAAAAAAAAAGACATTTATACAGAGACGCGACGAGACACCGAGACAGCAGAGGAGAAGGTTATGACAAGGTTATAAAGACAACAGGAGAAAAGTGCAAATTCAAGATGCAGTGAAGTCTGGTCGCACAGAAATGTTGATCACAGCTGGAGGGGCGGAGAGAGGGACTCTGCAGTGCTCACAGTGAGACAGAAGGCAGAATGTATTAAACTATGGCAGACCAGACAGGCCAGAGGAGGAGAGCAACAAAGCAGCAGAGCTCCTGTGGAGAATGAAAGAGATGACCAGTTAAAGTGATGGGACACAGTGGGGCAGCGTGAGATGGCGGTACAAAGTACAACACAGGTGGGCTGCGAGATGTCCGGCCTCAGCTTTTTGGACACAGATGACAACATCCTCCACGGGCCGCTGTGGAGGCGAATACGCACCAGAAAAAGGCTGAGAAAAAAAAAATAAGAGTGCAGCTCATTTGAAGAAACTTCTTCTGAGGATTTCTGTGTATGGTTTGACACAACTCCTTAAAAGGATCTGTTCACCCAAATTACAACCAAAAAAAAATAAAAAAAGTCTCATAAGTCTTGTTTATCACTTAGTGGTAGCTTGACATGCAGACAGTTTTGGTTTTATGTGCTGAGGCTTTGAGAATCCCTTCGAGATGTCTACCCCTAGAGGAATTTTACTATATAGCAATCTTTACAGTACAATCTTTATATAAGAATCAACATATTATGCAATGTGTGTATCCTGCAGAGGCAACCAACCTGCTGCTTTAGAATGACATTGCCAAGTACAAAACTTTTTTTTTTTGCTTTTGTTTTCTGGTATGTTTCTGCAGCTTTTTCACCACCATTCACATTTGGGTTTAATTTTGTACAGATGTGAAGCAGCTCCTCCCTTTCCTCTGTGCAATGCATCCAGTCTTACATCAACAGCACGCTTTAAAAAAAAAAATCTAGCTTTTTTTTAGTATGCATACCATCTGTTTTTCCTATACTTGCTTAGAATTAGTATGAAATTCAGCTTCTTTCTTAACAGAAGGTAGTTTGGGGACTCACTTCACAACGAGGTCTGTGGATTACACAGAGTGACAGGGATACTTATTTAGGAAAGACCAGTCAGATCTTTTTTTTTTTTTATTTTAATTCATTGCGCACCAAAACTGAAATTCCATTCAACTTCATTGTAGTGGTGGTGGATAGATAAAGTGCTAAAAGGGTAGAGAGAAAATAAATTGACATTAATTTGATAATTACTTCATTCATCGTCGGGTATCATTTACCAAGTGAAATTGCCAAATATTCTTCGATTCAGCTTCTCAAAATGGGTAATGGGCTAATTTTTAAGTTTTAAAGAAATTGAAAAATCTTTAATATCTGAGTTTTGGATCACTGTTTATAAGTGATTAAAAAAGATGTAACCTTGGGCTCTGGGTAATTGTAAAGAGCATTATTTTTTTAATTTTTTTTACAGATATTTTATAGAATGTTAATTAGTAATTAAAACAATCATTTGTAGGAGCTCTAGTCTGACATCTCAAAACCAAAACTATCTGCAGAGCCAGTTTCCACTGGAGTGAATGTGTCTATTGTTGTAACTCAGGTGAACTCCTCCTTTAAGTTACGTTCTGATCTTCAATGGCAAGCTCTCTTTGTCCTGCAGCGACATGACCCACTGCTCGACACCCCCAAAACGGATCGATGATACCTAACAGTACTATGAATGGTCCCTGATAGAGCACACTATAACTCCAATAAACCCCCGCCCCCAAAATAAACTCTCACATCAACATCCTCTACAGACACACACGCATACTGATAATTCTGCCATATGGTATATATGAGGTATAGTCTTTGTCTTCGACTGCACACAGCATGGTAAATAAAACCAACCTCTCACCAGCGAAGTACAAGAACAGGAATGACGGACAGGGGCTCTCAAATGCACAGACTCTCCACAGTTTTCTCATCAGCAAAGAGGAAGCTCCGGGGGGGAGGGAGAGAAAGACGTGAAGGAGAGAAAGTCTTCGGACTATCTACAAGCAAAAACGGTGAACAGAAGGTAAACGGTCATCTGATATGATTAATGATCACATTGTTATCGCGTAGTGACCGACGGTGGGGACTCTTGGACTCAAGACATACAGTAGCTTTAAAAAGAGCTGCAGCTTGGGTCTCCTTGCGAGTTGAGATAAAGAGACCACACATTCTCTTTGCTGCATTCGAGTCTGTCGAAAAAAAAAATATTGTAATTAACTGCAGTCAATGTTACAGTGAAAAGGTACAAAAACAAAATCGCTGTGATGAGTGTCTTCTTCACTGCGTACATTAAAAAAAAAAAAAAAAAAAGCCAAAACCCATACACCAAATAAAGCTTTGTAAATTGCACTCTGATGGCCCCCTCAGTCATTTGGGATATTTACATTCAGTAGTTCAGTCCAGGATGGAGCAAAGATAGAAAAAAGACACACGTTCTTACAAAGCAGAACTAAATGAGATTTCATTTTTCGATAACAGGGCCAAACAGACACCGGGTTGTATCTGATGAGCAGTTCTGGCAGTCTTTCTTGTTTTGGAACAGCTGCGAGGTCACCCGGGTTTTGCAGCTCTTGGAGACGTCCACAGTAACAGCTATCGTCTGCCCCCTGCTGTGCAGTCAGTCCTGTTACAGTGGACCTTTTCTCTCCGAGCTGTAGTGTTTGTGGTTCTGCTTGACAAGACAGAGAGACTCAGACCCCTCTGTTGCCAGTCTGTGGCCGGCGTGGGCCTGGTGCTTGGGTCCAAGGAGTCTGGTGGGTTTTTATTGCCTTTTTTTAGTCCGGTCAGCTCTTAGCGCAGTTTGAGCTTGAAGGCGGAGATCTCCATGGGATCCAGGCTGATGGAGGAGTCATTGGCCAGAGGAGTGCTGGAGTGCATCAGGGTCAGGGACATGGGCTGGAGCAGCTGCAGGTCCAGGTTCTTGAACAGTCCTGATACATTCAGCTGCAGAGAGAGAGACAGAGAGAGAGAGAGAGAGAGGAGAACAGGAAGGCTGAGGGCGTTAGAAACACAAGAAACTGATCCAGGCGAGAATGCAAATATGTGGAAGGGGAAATTTTACGTTTAGCTTACAGCTGATGGAAAACAAAACCAAGCTGGAGGAAGTATTCAAATTGTTATTGAAGTACGAACTAACAACAACACACTTTAAAAATAGTTCAAAGTTCACTTACGTTAAAGTCCAGAAGTGTTCAAATTACCAAGAGTTAAAGTACTCATTATGCAGAGCAGCCCCTGGCATTGCTATATTATTTATTACTATTGGATAATTATCATAATTAGTGCATTCATATTTAAGCAGCACTGTAATATTGTAGATAGTTGAGACTTTTATATGCTGTTTGGTAGTTTAACCTCTATTAAACCGTCATATTCTATACAATGATCATGTGTATGTACAATACTAATCTGTAAACTAAACAATAGCTATAGCTGTCAGAAAAGTAAAAAGTACATTTATCCTTCTGAAATGTAGTGGAGTAGAAGTATATTAAGTAGCAGAGAACTGAGTAACTGAGTAAATGTACTTAGTTACTAATTCACAACAAAACAAATCTCTGCTGATGCAGTTTGTTTTAATTTTGTTTTAGCAAGTGTTTGTGTTTGTGTGTGTGTGTGTGTGTGTGTGTGTGTGTGTGTGTGTGTGTGTGTGTGTGTGTGTGTGTGTGTGTGTGTGTGTGTGTGTGTGTGTGTGTGTGTGTGTACCCTGACCTGTCCCTGTGTGGTGGTGCAATTGAAGCCCAGGTTCTGAGCCTCCAGGCCACAGTCCAGCACCAGACGGTGAAGAATCAAGGCTGTGTATGGCGATGGGGAGTGGGGGTCCTGCTGCTCACACATACACAGAATCACCATAGCGTGTCAATTTCCAAGTCAATACACATAATAGCTCAATCGAAAATGAGTGCGTGTTGTTTGTGCCTCGTCACCTGGCTCTGGATGCTGCGCAGGTTGAGCAGGTGGAAGTCGCAGGGCAGGATGGACTTGAGAGGGGCGAAGGTTTGCAAAGGAGGGATGCCACGTCTTTTGGGCAGGACGGGCAGCGCCAAGACCTCATGGTTCAGGAAGGCGTTGGTCATGTGGCTGAGTATAGACGGGAAGCTATTTGTTGCACTGTCCATCATCTGTAGGAGGAGGAGGATTTATGCCAAAGTGGTAAAGTGACTGTTTTTAATCACAACATCAGTGAGTCGTTCTTTTGCTATTACTGCACTACCTAAGGAATAGGCTCTAATTACAAAGTATATTTCTAATTCTACTACAAACACAGAACTGATCAATCTATATTGGGTTTGTTACAGCCGCGGTGTTGTGATGTCGTTTTTAAATTAACAGGATTATAGTCTTTAAAACATGGTGTTTGATATTTTGTGGCATCTTCCCAAGACGTTCCCCCACATCCCAAGTACCATCAGCAGTTTTACCACCGAGGTGGATGATAAAACAGCAACCAATGCCTTCCATGCTCTGCCAATGTGTATTCATTTACTTGATAAATGTTATCATTAGTTACTTTCAGTGGCGCTGTCGAAAAGATCGACCAGTTTGGCAAAGACTACGAGGTGAAGAAAAGCAAAAAATAGGAACTGGAGCTACAGCACAGACTGTGATGTGGGCTAACAAGCATCTTCACTGTTGCCAAGGCAACGTTACCTCTTGAACTCCGTCACTCAAGATTTTGGAGAGGAAAGAATGAAACAAGGAGGAGAGTTTGGCAAAGAAGCCATCATGCTGAAGGTAATGGAGCGGAAAAAGAACAGATGGGGAAAAAGTTAGAGTGGAGAACAAAAAGACAGATGAGGTGGTAATGAGGACTGAAAAAAACATATGAAGAAAGGTGTTAATGAACACAAGATGAAGGACATAACACTCTTATATTCCACAGCCTTGCACAGAGCTTATACGGAGTCACTCAGCACCAGAGACGCAGATGTGGTGTGTGGGAATTTCAAGAGTGCTCGCCAAGCTTCAACAGCCGCCTTCGCTGTCATCTCACTGACCTTGTTGCCTGTGGATCTCCTCTCCAGCAGCAGTCGGAAGCGGTTGGCCGTCTTCTTGTTGTCCTTCAGGCCCTGACCCAGCCCACGATTATCATCCTGCATCAGCCGTCGGTCCATAATCACTTCAAGCTGGCCTAAGGAAGGAGGAGCAGGAGCATGGACAACAGCATTATTACGAAGCGCTTTGAACTTTCAGACGTCAGTCGATGAAAGCAAACACTATTAGCCATTTGTCCTTTACAAACGCCTCCATTACTCACATAACGATGATGAAAGGATTAGCTCAGTACATTACCATGAGAGCTTGAACTGTTTTGCTTTGAAACCGCCTCCCCCCCTCCCCCCAGCGTGCTTCAATACAACACTATTCCATAAAAAGGTCAAAGACAGAAAAAGTAAGAGAAAAAAAAGAGTGCATTTCAGGGGATAACTTTAATAAAAAATGAAATGAAGAAAAATGACAAACATAATAGAATGTAATACAATACAGACCACTCTCCAGGCTGGTGACACCCAGAGACTGAGCGGTGTGCAGCGTGAGGCGGTGATGGCTGTCCTGGATGTACGCCTGGCTGGGCATGGGATAGAAGTTGGCCTGCAGGGGGAGCTTTAGGTAGTGGCGACGGGGCTGCATCTACAAGAAGAGATCAAACACGGAATAGCAAAATATGTCAAACTTACAGTGCAACGAAAGACCTGAAATCAACATCAACCATCATTAGTTAGGGATAGTTAAGTAAGTTTTATATTTTCTTACACCCCTATACAGCATACAAAGAGATATGTTATTATTCTCTATTGAAGGACGGACTGACCTGGAAGCCATTGAGATCTGTATAGAAGACGTCTCCACTCTGGATGTCAGTGACCATTCGCATTGCCAGCTCCTTATTGGTCTGATCTCTGATGTCCACCATGGTGGTGATGTCTATAGACAACCCATCCACTCCTGAAAATGCAAAACCATAAAGAACCAAACTCAGGCCCCAGAGGGAAGTGAATGAAAATATGTGATCTAAAAAAAAAATGTAGTATTTAGCATTTGCCTGCTTAAAAGTAAAAAAAAAAAACAACAGGCGGCAGACGGGAAAAACTACCTAATAGAATTATAAATTGTCATTTTGTCAAACGTATTAGCCCTTGCTGTATTGTACCATCTGGTGCCTTTAACTAAACATAAAAAGCTTTTTTTTTTTTTTGCAAAAGCCATTTGAAGGGATTCCACTGTGTGTTTATTACCTGGCACGTTGTGTATGCGAATGGTCTGCTGGAAATGCTGGTAGTGTGCCACCACCTCAGAGAAGAGAGGCCCCTCCACGACGCGCACCACGGGGGGCTCTTTCTGGTTGTAGGGCTGAAAGCAGGAAGAGAGAAATTTGGCGTCAAGAAGAACGACAGAGAAAGAAGTAGAAGGAGCCACCAATAGAATAAGTGACAAGGTACAGCACAGGAACTAAGCCCTTACACTCTGTTGTCTTTAAATCAAGGAAAAAGATGAAGCAGCACCCAGTCTGCCTGCATTCCGGCCCCGAGCATCCCAGCATGATACAATAACACAATACACAAGGGAGACGCTATCAAAGCCTTCCAAGAGGCAAGAAAACATCTGAGACACAACAACTGAGAATACCTTCGCTTTTCCATCAGGCAGGAAGAGGTAAGCCCCACTTTTGTCTTTAGAGGGACGAGTGCCGTAGACCATGAACTGCATCTGAACCTTCACTTCCTGAGGATCATCCTTCCGTTTGATACTCTGCAGATAAAAAAGCCATAACGAGGAAGAGAACACACGCACAAAAAAAAAAAGAATTAGAAAGGAGATGAAAGGATGTTTGAGTCAATCAACAAGACACGTCATGTTAACTTTGATCCAACAGTCAGAGCTTATTGGGAAATCAAGATCGTGGCTTTATGCCTCAAAAAGATCAAAGTTAAAAATAGATGAGCAGATCCTTGACTCAGATATAAATTCAACAGAAGTAAGAGTCGATAAAAGGCAAACCTCCAGTAGGCCGGTGGTTCCAGAGAAGCCCAGTGTGAGAGACTGACTGCTGATGTAGAACGTTTGAGGGTCGGACTGCTGCGAGCGGACAGGAAGTGGGTCCGTGGCCCGAGCTGTGACGTCCCGACCGGAAACCCTGAGAAGGGTGTCGGAGCGTAGCGTCATGGGCGAATCAGGAGAGTCATAAAGATGGAACACGGCTAGACCCAGCGGTGGCAGACGAACCATGAATGTTGCCTGGATGGACAGTCGAAGGAACGGTTGAATAACAGAAAACTGAAGCTTTTATACACACAAGAAACAAACAAACGCAAAAAGCCTGCGTTTTTACAGTGCTGGCTTCATTTTCCTTGTTAATCTGAACAGTGAGTGTTCATTAGAAGGTAAAAGCATGTACACATTAGAAACAGTGTGCTGTAATTAAAATGTGATGAGGGATGGTGTTAATGAGACTGTATTTCTCTGTTCCATTTTAATTCATTACTTTATGTGGGAGGAAAGAATTTAATTTGGGTATAATAAATTCATCTACGGAGGTGAGGTGAAGCAAATGGGATACGTTTTACCATTGAAGACGTAATTGAAGCTGTTTCAACAGAATTGTATTTTTCCTTATTCATTTTTTGTGATCTGAAAGAAAACATCTGTTCTAGTGCTGGCTTACAGGTAAACATCAAAAGGAAAGCACTCATGACTGAGGCCTTTTTATTCAAAATTCTATTTGAAGTAATTTAATTCAAATTCATTTTATTTCTAAATTATGTCACAGTTTTGCAGCCACCGTAGTTTCTCCTACACACTTGAAAGGATGAGCTGTATTCAAATGGTTTAAATTTGCAACTTTACTGCAAGATGCCAATGAATACTACACACTGGTCCTTTAAAGCAAAAATATTTCACCCAGATACACACCCACAAAATACTGTATCGGAGTTGTGTGTTGGTTTTGGTTTGGTTTGTTTATGCATAAAAATATTGCCTAGTGAAGCTGACCTCACTAGTCAATATACAATAATGGTTAAAAGATAAAGCACTGCACTCCTGTAACAACGTGAGAAGCAGATATTGTCTCATTTAATCTGCATTCTTCTTCCTTGTCAAAACCTGCCACCTACATTACCCACAATACAACTCGGCCATCAACAGGCAGAGATTCAGGTGTTATGCTAGTAGCAGCCAATGTAGCCTCAAGCTGCAACCCTCAAGAAGAGATGAGGAGTGGGCCACAAGGGTCTGGTAAACTCATGAACTCCAGAAACCCCCAGATATTTTTTCTTCAGCCCCAACAGACTATGACTAAGTGACATCACTTGATGCAATTTATCAGACTTCACACAGCTCCCTCTGGAGACACAAACGTCGTTTTCTTCTGGCTTTTATTTGATAAAAGCAGCTAAAGAGAGACAGGAAAATTCAGAGAGAGGGGATGACAACAAAGGGCAGCAGGTTGGAATTCAAGCCGGGTTGCTGCGGTAGGGCCTTTGTACATGGGGTGTGCTCTCTACCTTTTTCAAACTTAAGCATGTAACTATAATGACTTTGAACTGGGCTGACAGAATGCTTTGCTGCGGTGCTAGTTATATGCCAATTTCACCATGCGGAAAACAGCGGTGAATTTAGTCTCTTACCTCAAATACCTCTGCACTCATTTGACTAGCAGTGCTCCACTGAGCACTCAGCTGCACAGGGAGGGTCTGTCCATCCTCAGTAAGCACCCGCACCCTGACCGTGTTGACCAACACAGTCACCGCACACAGCCGCTCCTGCTCGACGGGGTTGAACAGAACCAGGTACCTGGTAGAGAGAAGGAAAAAGCAATCAGACGCACAGGATGGTGGAGGAGTGGCTGAGGGAGGAGGCAGAGGAGATGAAAGACCGGAGAGGATGCTGATAATACCTCGGCCCTGCTGGGTCCAGCTCGATTAAAGTGCGCTGAGGCAGAGAGTCTTGAGTAGCCCGCCTGTCATCCTGCAAAATGAAAAACATTACACAGGAAATACACTGAATACTCAATACACAAGGAACAAAATTAATTTGCTGTTTTTTTTTAAATCAGATTATTATACGAGGGGGGGAAGTGTCCCTGCATGTTTCCTCTTACTGTCTCCAAGAAGGGCTCTGTTTGGTAAAAGCGATAAAACTCTTTGTTCTTCATCACCAGGAAATGAGCGGCATTGATGATTACTCTCTTCAGACCAATGAGTGAACGCAGTAATCTAGGGAGGAGGGGAAGAATCAATGGCTCAGTGCAGCAGTCATAGCAGACAGCTTGTTATTGTGCTTGTTATGTTGCTTCAAAATATTGAACGACTGAGTATAAAATAGCCACAGAGAGGATTAGGAGGAGGCACAGTTTCACTAATTCATATAAATTCAGTGTTGAAAGGACTTCATTTCTTTCTGAATCCTCAGATCCTTACTTGGTGCCGTAGTCAATGACAACGTTCTCCTTTGCAGTACCAGTGATGGCATCATGATGTTGAAAGAGGCCGACAGACCGCCTCGCATCCACTAGCAGGGCATAATCTGAGACCGGGTAGCGCCCTTCCATGCCAGCATGCCGAGCATTCGCAACCGCCAGGCTATAGAGGATCTCTGCGCCCCTGAAAGGAGATTATAAAAAACAGTTAGCAGTTAGTAGCAGTAGTTAGTCAGCTAAAGGTGGGTTTAGCCTTAACCTTATTCTAGTGACCTGTCATATGGACACACTTTGTTAATGTAGCCTACGCGTTTTTGCTGTTTGGCTTAATTTTGATTGTTCTCAGTCGAGAGAAATGGGAGAGATGAGAATTAAAAGAGGTCCAATACATAATTGTTACAACCATATGAACTAAAAATTTGTTAACTAAAAAAAGTTAGTTCATGTATAAAAAGTAATTTTGGAGTGATATGAGGTTCCGATCTTGTTTTTTGATTTGCATCACGCCTTTAATAAAGTCCTTTCACATAAGTGAAGTACCTGCTGTAGAACTCACTTACTTAAACAGCTACAGTATCATTAAAACACTGCAGGTTGTGGTTGTCAATGAGCAGTGAAGTGTGATTAAATCTACCCCACCTGAGGTGCGACTCTATCACACGGTCCAGGCTTTTGTAAAAGGGACGCGAGGTGAAATAGCCAGTCCAGTAGTGGTCTTCCCGGTCCGCATAGGCAAAGAAATCTCCACTAAGCACTGGGTAGTCTGCGGGTCTTGATCCCTGGGCCGCTCCGTGCGCTTTGTATACAGCGTTGAAGTACTCTGAGAGAGTCCCAAACTGAGCCTGGAGGAGCAGCCAGACAGACACGAAAGCACACGCTTAAAAAAGCTGAACAAAAAGTAGAACTCTCATTATTATTTATGCACCTTTCATCTCACATGCCATCTTCTGACTGATCAAGTCGTGACAGATTCTTTGTTCTGTCAGCAAGTTAAAATACCACTGCATGACTCATTATCACAAGAAAGGTTGTACACGGAGATACTTGGTCGACACACGCTGAGACGCACAAAAACAATGAAAAAGATGCAACAAAAACATGTTTTTGGCAACATTCGTTTGTGACAGTTGACAAATTATTTTCTCACTTGTACGTGCATCTCTGGGTGAGAATTCATGTAGTCAAATAGCTTCTGGTAGTTGGTGTACTGCTGATCCCACTCCAGGGCCTTGTCGTAGCGGAAGTCATCTCCCAGGGGAACAAGAAGTACCTTGCTGCGGTAGAGTTTGGACTTTTTCCGGTACTGATCCAGGAGCAGGTGTGCCCTGATTGCGTAAGAGGAAGAAAGAGAGGGAGGGGGTAAAAAAGGAAAAGCTGAGAGGACACATTTCTTGGCGTGCAAACTGCCCTGCACTGCATTCGCCAGTTTAGAAGGAAATCACTATGACCTTGAAAAGAGGAGGATCAAATAGCCCCGGGGGTATTTTCCATTAGCCACTGAAATATGTCCTCTGGAAAGTTCTTTGGGTCCTCTAAAAGCAGCTTAATGTGACAGCAAGACCATCTGCAGTCTATGTCTGTCTCCCTCTGTTCATCCACCCTCTCTGCCTGTTGTCTTTGGCTCAAGTTCAAGTTTATTTTATTTGTAAGGGACCAGTACAGATAACAGATTTTAAAAGCAGCGACCAATCTGTGTTAAGTGGAGCTTTAGCCAAACTCCAAGCATATACATTGGATTCATTTTAAAAACTTTACATTTACTGTGTACTAATGACTTTAAGTGTGCACTGTGCAACTGTATTATCTAGGAAAATATAACAGCATCGGGACTATATATATATATATATATATATACATAAACATATACACACACACCATATATACACATATACACACACACACACACACAATATTAAATGAATCACAAAAAAGGTAAAAAAAAAAAAAAAAAAAAAACTTGGCCAAGACATCCCTACTGACAGGCTGGAACAGAAAATTTGGCATTTAGGCTCAATGAATAACTTAAATGATTCATTGATAATCAAAACAGTTTAATTTTCGGATAATCAACTTCTCAACAAGTCAGCAATTTCAACTTATATATCAGCTCAGCCAATATGTTGGTCTTGCTCTAATAGACATCCTAACATTTGCCCGGTAGGACGAAGTAGCCCCACAGTAGCCACCTCCACCCTGTAACTTACCCCCTTACTTAACCCCCACATGTCTCACCTTTCGGCTACATTGGCCTCAACCACCGTTTTTGGTGGCACTTTCCATGGACAGTTTATCCGACCACCCGGTAACCTCTTGAAATCAAACTGGCAGCAGATCTTCGGGTCGGGGCCGCAGGTGTGAGGCACATCGTAGCTGTAGAATGGCATCATGTGGCAAAAGATGTCTGTGCTCGATCCCGTGTCTGTCAAAGCAGTATAGTAATAAGTCAAAACCTAGTATATGGCTAGTGTATGGTCAGTGTCTAATAATGCTCATCTGCATTTTTTTGTAGTGGTTCTTAAAGGTGCACTGAAGCAGATTACATGACATTGTCAAGCCACGTGTGAATCACAAAATCTACAGGCTAAATGCAGTTGCAAAACAAAATGTTCCACTTAAATCTGAAGAGGTTTTATGTACAAGAGAACTTCATCTGATAATAGATTATAGAGAATTGTTATAATTATAGACTCCCCCTGCTCTTTCATTCATTTATAATCATTTCTGTGACACACTCTCTATTGAGTATTTTGTTGTTATTTGGGGTGCTTTAATTGTGCACTCTCCCATGCTTCTTGGTGCATGGAGAGCTGTTTGGAGCAGCACACTGCAGCCTGCTTCCATGTTAACCAATTGGGCTGCTCGGCTGGCGAAATGATTCAGCTTCTGTTCTTTCTGTGAGTGAATCTGGCAAGAAAACGCACTGATAATCTATTATTATGAACGATATATTTAATGGTCAGATTCTGATAAATGGTGAAATATGGACTCTAAGCTTGCCAACCCTTTTGAACTCTTCAGTTCAAAGGGTATTTCACATCCCCCAGTGAAATATCAAAATCTGTCCATCCACTATGTTTATTAAAAACAGTATTCCTGCTGTCTGTGACTGGGTTCTTTTTAAATTACAGACTTATTCCACACATCAGTTACATCTAAACATCGCAATTATCACAAGAGCAGAAAAGCAGAATCACTTGTTGACAGGCGGGGATGTGTGCTTCTGATATATACAGCCAGGCTGGTACGTGCCAACTTATTTTGGAAGAGCAACAGTCAACACTCGACTGGACCAATTGTGTAACTTTATCACTCACTCAGGAACTCAGTAAGTAATAATAAGGCATGTAAAGATGGTATTTGTGATCACAAACACACCAGTGCGCGCGCACACACACCAGTACACACACACACCAGTACACACACACACACACCAGTACACACACACACACACCAGTACACACACACACACACACACACACACACACACACACACACACCAGTACACACACACACACACACCAGTACACACACACACACACACACACACCAGTACACACACACACACACACACACACACACACACACACACACACACACACACACACACACACACACACACACACACACACACACACACACCTACACACACACACACACACACACACACACACACACACACCTTTCTGGATAAAACAGCAAAATGTAAATGATAGCACTTAATTACAGAATGAATCCCTAGAAGAACTGGCAATCACAAATTGATAATATCTAACTGGGTAATAGAGGATTTTTCCATTAAGCACAAATGGACAGTAAATCTTCAGCAGATGTCCAATTCATTAAGAAGTAATAATGAAGATAGGTCCTCTGAGGCTATTACACACTGGTTGTACTTGAAAAGTTTCCCTCTCTTTCAAAAGGCCATGACAAGTGGTATGACTCATTCTGCAATGAGCTTAACAAAGATAAGCACATGAATCAGATAATGTTGCAGGCTCTGGTCCACTCACCCCAGGACTGCCTCCACATAAACTCCAGGCTGCGGGTGGAGGCAAAGTGTTTTTTGATGGAGTAGTGGACCCTCTGGATGAGCATGCTGGTCAGGTTGGCTCTCTTCAGCAGATAAGGCATTGTGGCACTATGACCAAAAGGGTCTACCGCCCATCCACTGCGAGGAGTTATACCTATGACAGCGAACAGAAAGCAAGTAGTTCAGGTTTATGCTCAGATAAAAAGAAGAGTTGCATCTTTTAGAAAATCATTCTCCTCAGCAGGGAGCACTGAAAGTAGCACAAAATATTTTATCTCCCACTGAGTGAAAGGCCACATCTGCTGCACGCAGGATGACAAGCTCAGATGTTGCCATCAAAAATTGAAAAGGACTGGTGTCAACTTTAGACATCAATGTAGTAGAAGGAATTGGAGGGAAGGTAGAAGTACTGAAATTTCACAGAGAGAAGTGAGCGTCTTACAAATGTATGCATTATTCGTGTAAACATGAACATGAACATGAATTAAGAGGAGTCATTTCTGATTGTGTACCTAGATTTCTCTCCAGCCACTGATGTCCTTCAATGAGCTGGTCTATCATGGCAAAGTAGTGAACATTGGCTTCATCTGTCATCACCCAGCCTCCTGTCACAATCTCTAGCTGCCCACCAAGGATCAGTCTGTTGAACAGAGAGGATTAAGAAAGAGAGGTGAGGATAATCCAGCTCTAAGGAGGGAGAGACACATTAACCAGATAAACTATTTTTAGAGCTCCCACAAGCTGCCAGCAGATACAATCCATTGTGTAAAACACTGCACTTCAAGCCAATAGGCATCAAAGAAATCTCGACAAAAGTCTCAGATTTAGGTGGGGAAACTAAAGGCAAAACTGTGTGCTTCGCTTAGCTGTGACTCACTTGCGCATCGCCTCTTGCTTGTGTATGTCTGCAGTCTCCCACCACTTGGAAAAGAATGAAATCTCAGACCAGATGAACTTCCTGCGAGGATCCTCGGCCAGCTTCACCACCATGTTGTTTAAAATATGCTGCGTCTGGTCTGTGAAGTACTTGTCAAAAGTCTTGATCCAACCTAACAAGACAAGAGGATAAATATGAGGAATCTGCACAACAGTTGGCAAACAGACTGTCCACTACAAATTGGACTGTCTCTGAAACAGTATACCTCCATACACCCCCACCTTTCCTTCCCTTTGTTTCACCGGCTGATATAAAGAAAAGACAGGGCAGGTAAGAGACTCAACTCTGTGGAAAAAGTGCTGCAATGGATCAAAAATAAAACTCATATTTTATTAAAGTAGAGCTGTTCCCCTCAGAAAGCTATTTAGCAGAGAGGTTTCAAAGAAAGTGACTAAAAAGCACTTTCTGTGCACTGTTAGTGTGCAACAATGTAAAATACCACAGCCTAGGAATATCCAGTCAAATATCTGTCTCACATATTGTACGCCATTATATTTTAAATGAATCAAAGTTAAACACATCATTCTGCAGTTATAAATAATCAGTCTTTTTGGGTTGACATGCTTCCTGTAGTTGAATTAAACCCTTAAAATCCTTCCTTTGCATTTAGTAAAAAGAGCTTCAGCATGATTTCTGGTTGCAACCATCCATTAACCCTAGACACTGAATGCTGCATAAAAAAATGACTAAAGAAAACTTTGCAGCAGACTTTAATCAAATGCAGCTCCAAATATGAAGCCTATTTCCATTGTTGATGGACAAAATATGCAGGTCTCTGCAGCCTGTCAACATATCAATAACTGTCAAGTTAGCAAGCATGTGGCAGGCTGGTAAACAAGTTTAATGGAAATGTCAGTCCAAAATAAAATCTCAGCCAATCCAACCTATAAATAGCTAGAGTTTTCCATTGCCAATATCTTTGTAATTCTATTGTTTGTGCGTAAGCCGTCAATCATGTCAACATTATGCTAATTATTATAAAAACAAATGAATCAAAATTTGAATGATTTCTGTGCCCCCATCACTAGCCCCCACTCAGGTAAGGCCTCATGGTAGCTAGCTCGTCTGCAGACATTACATCATTTTTAACCTGCTGAAAACAAAGTGTTCAGACAGGCTTTAGGCTGTGTCTTGAAATACACTTTGATCAGACAGACATTTAAACTAGAACTGAGACCTTTCAACAAAGTTTTTCTGCATGTGTTTTGCCCTCTCAGCTAACCTGGATCATTGTGGGAGTGGGGGACCACAAACACTTGCAGCGGCTCATTGTCCCACTCTTCTGGCTCATAAGTAATGTCAAAGCCTTGTTTCCATACGCCGCCATCAGGGTTGTCAAACTTGAGGAGGGAGTACACATCCAGCATCTAAAATGAAACACAAACTCATTATTTGCTCAGCAAACACACCCTAAAAGTAAGTATGCAATGGCATCTACAATACAGCAATGATGACAACGTTGCGGCCAATTAGCTACTTAGTATTTCCTCTAAGGGAAAAACTAGTATTATAGTTCACCTGAACATCTGCTTGACCACGGCTGCCTGCAGCAAATTGGCAATCCTGGGGCTTGACAGCAAGGAAAGTGGGGCGGCCGTCAAAGGGTAGGACCCAGGAGCCATTGGCGCTTCTGAATGGCAGGTGGCCACTGGGAGACACAGCTCCTGTGTCTGTGAGCTCCATCACAGAGTCCTTTATGTGGCTGATGATTTGGTGGTTTTCTTCCAGGAGCTGCTCCAGCTGCTCTATCCGGTTCTGCAGAACTGAGATTTGGCTCTAATGCACAAAAATAATAAATCACACAGCTGTATAACATCATGAAACATCTGGTAACCCAAGCCACATTCTTCTTCTCCGTTACTGTGAGTGAAATCTAAATCTTGTGATTCAGCCAAGGTAACAAATAACAGTATGAGATCAATCAGCTTATCATATATCTACACAATGATAGATATATGATTGCACATTTTAATTTATAATTGAATATTACAGAAAAAGAATACAAATTAAGCCATGTGTTATGAGACAGAAAAACTGATTGATTGATTTATCTACTTCTGGTGTATCACAACAAAAAGTGGAGTGAAACAAAAATAACTGCAGAAAGGGGGTTTCAGACATCACACTGTGTGCACCACCACTACAGCAATTATTCTTACCCTTGGAAAGTTCCCGCCACTCTGTCGCCTTGCAGGGTCATGTTGGACTCGATCCAACATCAGATACAGTGAAAATACAGCCACACAGAATATGGCCCCTCCGCACACTGTCACCTGTTTCCTCAGCTTCATCCTCCTCTGGAGCAGTCTTCTATCCGGGGTTTGAATTTTAAAAATGACCTTGACTGTGGTGGTTTTTCCAGAACAGAGGGAGTAAAATAAAAAAATAAAAAAAAGTCTTTGAAACCAGAATGCAATCCTTCACAGTGCAGGGGGGGAAAAAATGATGGAAAGTAACCAGCTACACAAGTATTAATGGTTCAGTTCCACTCCTGCGATGCCTCCAGCCTCCACTCACCATACTGGAGACCACAGCGAAGAGGGCTACAGCAGTGGCAGCGGTGGACAAGGGTACTAAATCAGCAATAGCTGGCAAGCAGTCTGTCAGCTTTGGCCAAACCACAGCCACCGGTGAGCTCCTTCAAAGTAGCCCTTGTGCTCAACCATCCAAACTGATGAGACTGCAGAAAAAGAAAGAGAAAAAAAAAAAAAACAAGCGCCACACACAAGGGGCTCAAACAGGGACCCTAGTGTCTCTGCAGCATCATGTGCGTTTGCTGTGGGCCTGCTCTCCTGGTTCAGTCCCCACTCACACAACGCAGTCTAATCCTCCAGTACAGCCCCTTTAGCTCAGTCGGCCTCCAGTGCCATAAGAGTTTGCGCACTAGGCTGCAGCAGTGCAAAAAGAAAAGGGCTGAGAAAAGACCAACTTGGCTGAGAGCAGCAACTTTTTAAAGCAAGCCTGAACTCTGCCCGAAGCAGCTCCAGGAATTAAAACGAGACAAATGTCATTCTTCTCTCAGTAGCATAGTGACAGCATATCTACTGTGGCAGCACGGGCAGTGCGTCTGTCCTTGATCACAAGCGCCAAGTTGAAATCACATCAGTGGGTCCTCTTCAGCTGTTAGGAAAGGTTTTGATTAATGGAGCATGCACAAATATGTATTCAGCCTTGCACAGAGGGACTATCACTTACAAGAGGCACAAGTAAAAAGTAGAAAGTACGAAGGGGGAGTGAGAGATACTTGTTTTTTTTTTGTTGATCTGACAAGTAAAGTCAACAGGGATCAAGCTGAGCAGTGTCCTCTGTGTCCCCTCACAGCTCTAATAGGTATTCCTGTTTCCCCTCTGTGTGTGTGTGTGCAAATCCAACATGATCATAAGCCGCTCACTTCTTAGGCTGGGACTGTCTTAGTGTTGGGATAATAACCTGGCACTTACATTTACTCAGACTGACTGAAAAATAGCCTCACTGTCCGCAGGAAGGCGACTGTTTCTGACAGCATCTGGATCTGGAGAGGACTATATCCCACATTAAAAGGCTCTGTCAGTCGTGGTGTCGGACACTGACATCGACTACAACCCTGCATTTGTGTGACAACATGTAAAATGCACCACAAATCCCGAGCTGCTCACATGATGGTAATACTCACAATACCTTATGTAAACTATCAAATTCCCATGACCAGTATTCTTCGGGTTATTGACTCATGGGTGTCACCTCTGTCCAGTATTTATTTATTCACTTCGGTGACTTTTAGTCAGCTATCTCTGGGCGGCTAGCCAGGCAACATTGCGTTACTTCAAACTTAGCTAAAAGCACTAAAAAAAAAACAACCAAATACACGGCAGTTAGATTATACGTGTGCCTAATTAATTTATTAACCACATTAGCTCGGTAAAACTTTAACAACCCCGGTTACTTTAACGTTAAACACCACGAAATGAGCAGCTACACAAGCTAACGCCAGCTAACGTCGCCAGATGTTCCGTTAAGTTAACCACATCAACTCGACCGGATCCTCAAGAGTCCAACAACGTTTAGCACCCGGACTGTCACTCACTGATCGATCTGGGTGAACAGCAGGCACAGCTGTCCTTTTTTACAATCCGCGGAGAGGAGCCCAGAGCTGCGCGGCGGGTTTAGCGTTGAAGGTGAAGACGATAGCGGACTGGCTCGATTGCGTTCAGACAATACGTGACAGATATTTCCTGGCTAACGATCGAAAACCTCCGCTGATCATGGATGGATGTGATGTGGACAACGAATGTTTTGAGAAAATCTGACATTACCCATCAACGGAGAGTGATCCGGGAGAGTGTGGAGCCGAGCAGTGTGCGTGCTTTTTAGCTCCGGGCTGACAGATTACCGACTGGACCAGCTAGCTTAGCAGATAGCGCCACTGAGCTGCCGCAAAGGCTTATGGGACGAGAGGAGCTGCGCATCAGTCGGTGATTGGCCAACAGCCTCAGCAGATTGCAAAATAAAAGCACAACCTCTCGTTTCTGCTTATGATAAATGTGTAAATATGATTATCAATGCAACATAAGTTGATAAAAAAAATTACTGCGTTATTATTGTATGAATATTTTGACAGATAACAGCATAATTCCCACAGTGAATATAAACAGAGAAACACATTAAACACAGGACATGTAGCAGCACTTTGTCACTTACATGACCTACTTATAGTTAATTATTGTAGTATTTAGAACAACCCACTCAGCAGTTCAGAGACAGAACAGTACCAGGCTGTATTGATATATATATATATATATGTATATATATTACTGTTAAGGGCTTATGAATCTACAAAAGAAATAGCTCTTATAAACTGAATTTACAAGGAGGTCTGTAAATCATCTTAGATAGCTGCTCTGTTGTGAATGGAAAGAACAAACTGAAGACTTGTATGTGGGTGGCTGGTGTTTGTAGTACATAGTTATCAGTCTATGAGCGAGAGGAGTCATGTGTGGGCTGTACCCGTGATAGTAGGTCACAAATGCATGTGGTTTGATCATCTGCTCTGATACACCAGACAGAGTCCAAAATACAGACGACCAGAAAATTCGATAATTTGGGACAATGCCCTAGTAAGGCAACTGACTAGTCTATTTTTTCTTTGAGGTTGGTTACCCTAAAAAGCTGATATACAAGCTCTGCTAACAAGTGTAAATCTTTTATTTAAAAAAAAAAAAAAAGCTTGCTAACTGGTATTCATTTAGTTTGAAATAAACTTTCTTATTACTGTTTTCATGTTTGGAGTGTGTAGAGATACATAGAGTGTGCTTCTTAACATAAAGTTATGTCACTATGCCAAGCTTTTATATTGCTACTGTGACTGAGCAACTTGCCTATAGACAGAGGGGGCTTAAGCAGTGCTGCCTATTCTGTCGTAATATAACCGAAACTGAAGTCCAGCCTGACTGCTGCAGAGAAGTGAACGCCATTGTGCAGGTAAACGACACCTGAGAAGCCCAGTGTGGAACATGTAATAGTGCCTCGCAGGTGAGTCACATTGTTGAGTTCTTTTAATGGATCATCCATGAACTCTTTGTGTGTTTATGGAAACAGGAGCTTCGCTGACATTTTTAATAATTAATTAGCAGATTTCATAGGACATGACAGGAACATATGGTGTTGTTTTGGTTGTGCTCTAGTCACAAGAGACTGATAAACTTTGATGGCATCCACAAACCAATTCAAAGTAGGTTATTTCCTGACTTAAAAAGAGGTTTGGTACCACAAAGTCCACCAGCAATGACACAATCCCGTTCTGAAAGCGTAATCTGTTACACAACAAAGTCGTGATAAGGAACAAATGTTTGCACAACTGGTTTTGATTTTGATTTCTTCCCTCTGGAGTCCCGGGTGCAGTCGCTGAGCTTTGTGGATCTCCTGTGGATCTGGTATGTATGAGGTCTCACAGCAGGAAATATATACCAACTGCCAATGCTGGATATTATTATAAAAGTCTCAGAGCTTCCCTGGTAATATGAGCTTTAACAGGGGTATCTGAACACAAAGTCCAAAGAGAACTAACTTGTTTCCACAGCAACAGAGGAAACACAACAATGGTGCCTGGCTGTCCTGGTAAACGAGAGTCCCCAGGTGACTGATGTAGGAAATACCATACCAGGAAACTTCCTTTTGTATTTTTCACCTGAAAGGAGACACTGTTGGGAGTGTTGGCTACTCTACATTTTCCAACTCCAATTTCAAGACTCAAAATGAAACGTGTCTTTTCTACTTTTACTCTTTTAAATCTGCCTAACTATAAACACACTGAAGTGTGATTTTGATGTGAGAGTGTTTCCACTTTGTGTGACCTTATTATTTTACTGTACTTCATTTTTTTACTCAGACAGTTGTTGCTATTAGTTATTTTATTGTATACAGTTTAAAATATGTAAGATGTGCTTTATTGGTCCCCATAGGTTTGTATTAAATGTATATGAAATCAGTGGATTTGTGTTTTTCTGTGTTGACCAGTGTGTTATTTCTGTTTGTTAACAGTAGGCCTGCAGATATTAAGATGTCCTTAATACGTCATTAATAAAGTGTTTTTTTATCCACCCAAGTCTGCATTTGTAAATATTAATTTTAATAGATTGTTAATGAATGGATTTTGGCCACAAGTACAAGAAGTCAAAGCGATTTCTCCCAATCTAGTAACCCAAAAGTTGATTTATTAACTGCTAATAAAGCAATTAGCTACAAACTGTAAACACCTTTACAAAGGATGGCTTGTTAAAGTGGTGCCAAAAATAAGCATGAGACATATTCATAATAACACATCATGCACTGCTGAGGTTTAAACCATCTAACACTAAGCTTTTAGGCCACTAGAAACACTAAAATACTTTCTACTACTGCTGGGTTGTTTAACTCCTCTTCTTTTATTACATAAGCAGCCTGATAAAACCCCTCTGTGTCTGTGTGGACTGAAGAAAAGCCACAGTATGAAAATATAACCAAATAAAGCAGAGGTGGAGGCACAGATGCGCCGGACTGCTCTTCCTTTTATGGTAACGTAGCGTGGGGAGAGGGGGCGTGGCTTATCCCTAGGCGTCACCAACGTGCTCTGTACACTCCCGGAAGCGGAGCAAGATGTAACATGTTTGCGTGAAGTTGTCGGTGTTTGTGACCAAGTAGAGTACATTTAAACTATATATTCACATTACCAAGTAACGCTGTATTGTTTGAAGCACCTTGAAGATGAGTGTAAGTGAAAGAGAAAAGGTAAGAGGGCAGCAGTCAGCTACATAGCTCTTTTTTTTTCTTCTTCTTGTTTTTGTTTTAGCTTAGCATATGTCATCCAGAGACTACGACTCTTTCTCTCCAACGCCAGGACCCTGCAGCCGTGAAGGAGGAGGGGAACACGCTTTTCAAGGCGGGAGACATTCAGGGTGCTGTCTGCTGTTACACCAGAGCATTGAAGCTGAGTGACACACAGGCAGAGAGTGCTGTGCTGTACCGCAACCGCTCTGCCTGCTACCTGAAGCTGGAGGAGTACAACAAGGCAGAGGCTGATGCATCCAAAGGTGTGGATTTAGGAGTAGAGAACCCTAAATGCACACTTCCTAACCTCCTTTTTTGTTTGAATTGTAATCTGTTCATGCAGATGGATTTACTGTGGCCTGCTGAGGTTTGGGTCTCTTGGGCTTTGATTTAGTTTAGGATGCTGAAAGTGACAATGTTATTAGAGGCGAGGGTGTAGGAGTAGGTTTGGAAAGTGGTGTTGTGGGGACATGAGTTGGCAGGAGGATTGTAATTCTGCTGTGACTTTATAATTCTTTCTTGAACGCAATAAATTGTGAGCTGCACTCAACAGTTCAATTTCCTAATATAACTGGTGTTGATACAAACAAACACATCACTTATAGGACTAATTGCAATGTTAACTGCAATAACCCCATAGCCACACAGATTGGATTTGAAACTAGGGAAGACAGAAGCAATCCTGGAAGAATAGACCTTTTTCACAACAGCCATTTCTTTGACATGAACTAGTCGGGTAATGACAGGTGTTACTACTATGATACTAATTGAGGTTCCACTCCATTTATTGTAGCAGAGCCCTTTCCAGTGAGCCAACATGCACAATAGCAGCATCCTGGCTTTCTAACTCAATGAAACAGAGCTTTAATTACCTCAGAGGTAGAGCGGGTCATCCTCTAATCAGAAGGTTGACGGTTCGATCCCCGGCTCCTCTCGCTGCACCCCAAATTGCTGTTTGTATTGCTAATTGTATGATTGATTAGTTTCCATTCTGGGGTTAGTGTGGCATGTAGTATACAGCGCATTGAGTGGTCGAAAGACTAGAAAGGTGCTATGTAAGTACAGTCCTTTTACCATTTACCCTACTATTGTATGTGAAAAGTCTGGAGACGAGTATATTTGCCAACATGTGAAGAACAAGAGCAGTAGTAGTATATAGTATTGTTTATTAGGTGTTTATTATTTTGCAGTACACAGCATTTTGTAAAATTTTACTCAGAGTCATCTAAACCTAATTTTTAATTATTTCCAAGTCATGAATTTTGCCATTGTCTTTATTTACATTTGCTACAATTTCCAGGCACAAGTATCGACATGCAAACGGATGTTTATGGGAGTTTCTACATTCAATTTTGGATAATTGTGGAAGGAGAAATAAAGCTTGCACCCACGCACACTTTTTTCCACCTTTATAAAACAGAATCGGGTTTATGTGCGGCTTTCCATCTTTGTGTGTCAGTTTTAGTCGTGAATCTACACAGAGTTTTTTTGCATACCGGTATGGTGCCAGTACCCTAATGTTACGGTCACAGAAGGCAAAGCACCTGCTACACGACAGTTTAGATTAATGCTCTAGCCTCCAGCTCTGTCCTTATAGCACACTGTGCTGTTTCTGATTCATCCCAAATGCCTTTCAGCAACCACATCACTGCATGTAAAGGAGGCGAGAACAAACAATTTAAACATTTCTATTAAACTCTCTTTCTCATCCAGAGAAGTTAAACCTTTGTAGAGGTGAGGTAAATCATATTTGTTTTAAACATATGGATAATTAATATTGAATTAGCGGTGGGTTTCAGGTCTTCAGAAATCTGTTAACAGTTTAATTAAGAACCACTTTCAACACCCACCAACTGTCTTATCTTTGTTAGAGGTAACAATTTACAGCTACTCTTTGTGTGTTTAGTTTACATTTCAGGACAAAGTAAAAATTATTTGCTGTACTGTTGCATGAACTATCACTCTAACTTGATTAAGATTTACGGATATACACAGTTGAATGTGTCATGTGTCTCTCTTTTCAGCTCTTGATAATGACCCAGGTGATGTGAAAGCCCGGTTCCGGAGAGCTCAGGCTTTCCAGAAACTTGGTCGGCTTGACCAGGCCTTTCTGGATGCTCAGAGGTGTGCCCAGCTGGAGCCCAAAAACAAAGCCTTCCAGGATCTGCTCAGACAGCTGGGAGCACAGATCCAGCAGAAGGTGATGTGTGTGTGTGTGTGTGTGTGTGTGTGTGTGTGTGTGTGTGTGTGTGTGTGTTTTTTTATTTGTATAAAGTGTAGGAAAGGTCAATAAGGTTTGTCTTTTATTTGAAGCAATATCAAGAAGAAACTTGCTAATTAGGGTCTTTTCTCCTAACTTTGTAGTCGGTGCAGCTAAACTCCACAGATGCTCGTGTGCAGCAAATGTTCTCCCTCCTCTTGGATGGGTCTGCAAACGAATCAGATCGACAAAAGGTAAGACTGGCTCAAAAGGCAGGAACATAATAGCTGCTCTAACTCACTCTTTTATTGTGTGTTTCATTTTTTTATTCATTGCATCTTGAACTATCTGTAAAGTTGTAGTGCACAAAATAATGAGGCCCATTATTCAACTCCAGGCTGCTCAGAATCTGGTGGTATTATCCAGAGAAGACGCTGGAGCTGAGCAAATCTTCCGTAACGATGGAGTGAAACTGATTCAGAAACTTCTTCAGTCAAAGCAGGAGGATGTTGTCCTCTCTGCCCTGAGGACCTTGGTTGGGTTGTGCACTGGGCATCAATCCAGAGTAAGTTTGACAGTTCCCTCTAAAGTTATTCATTGCATTGTCTTTAAAGTCTTTTTTTAACAGGCATGCAAACTTGTATTTTTTTTCTTGGAAAACTTAGATAAAACAGGACTTTTATGTATCCATAGTGATGTCTATGCATTTCTGTTTCCATTCATAAGTATGCTGTTGCACAGTTTTTAAGCAGATCGATGGTGTCCTATTCACCATGCTAGTAACCCTTATAAATGGCTTGGCTGCTTTTTACTACCGGCATTCACTGTTTCATTCACAGACTATGGCTATAGTGAATGAGTTGGGAATGGAGCAGCTGTGTGCAGTAATGGGATCAGGAGCCTCCACTGTGTCTCTGGCTGCCTGCCACCTGCTGCAGGTGATGTTTGAGGCTCTGACGGAGGGCATGAAAAGAGAGATCAGAGGGAAAGATGAAGCCATACTTCCTGGTGAGTTTGGACTATGATCATGTTTATATTTTGGGTTGGCGCCACATGAATGTTGGCCTATAACAAATGCCTTTTTTGTGTATGTATCAGCTTTCTGTCCCGTCCTTACTACGGTAATTGACTGTATGAATTTGACACAGAACCCTCCAAGGAGTTACGCTCAATGTTACGCCACCTCTTGGAAATGATGCCAGCAGCTAATGTATCAGGGCCAGGCAGAGACAATGCCATCAATCTCCTGGTCAAACAAGTTCCCCGCAAGTCCTTGAAAAACCCTGATAACTCCCTCACGTTGTGGGTGATAGACCAAGGTATGAAAAACACTGCACACAGAATTTATCACATTCTTACGCAATGATGTATACAGAACAGACATAGGCCTTCTAATATACCAATTTCAGCTTTTCATTATAGTTGCACTACAATAGAAAGGAGAAGGAAGTGTTAACTATGAAATGAAATGTGCCTATAGCTATAGCTACTCTAAACCCTTTTTAGACATTCTTTTATCTGGTATCGCTTCAGGCAGATTAATGAACTCCTTGACCTCCTGCAGGACTGAAGAAAATTCTGGAAGTGGCCGGGACAGTCCCTGAGCTCTCAGGAGGAGGACCACCTCTTACAGACAACTCCCACATGAGCTGCTCTGTCTTGCTCAGCAAACTCTACGATGACCTTAAGAGTGACAATGAGAGGGAAAACTTTAACAAACTGTGTGAAGAATATGTACAGTGAGTTATTCAGCAGAACTTGTTTTACTAATTTCTAAAGTTTCTGTCTCTTAGGCTGTTTAATACTACAATCAATACTCCTTAGTTCAGGCCATAAGTCCAAAAGTGTCATTCTTTTACTTTTTTTTCTCTTTAGGCAATACTTTAGCAGATCTGGCCTAGATGCCAAGCTGCGAGCCATCCAGACGGTATCGGTGCTCCTTCAAGGACCAAGCGACGTGGGTAACAGAACTCTGGAGATGTCAGGGATGATTGATGCGGTGATCTCTCTGTGTGCCTCCGAAGATGTAACTCACCAGCAGGTAGCGGTGGAGGCTCTCATCCATGCTGCAGGCAAGGCCAAGAGAGCCTCCTTCATCACAGCCAATGGTGTGGCTCTTCTGAAGGACCTCTACAAGAAGAGCGAGAATGACAGGATACGTGTGAGAGCCCTGGTGGTAAGTGCTATAGCAAAGCAAGTATATTTATTTCAGACAGCTGGAGAAAGGAAGATCTCTAAATAAAGATAAATGACCTACGCTTTCTGATGGTTATTACACAGGGTTTGTGCAAGCTGGGATCAGCAGGAGGGACAGATTTCAGCATGAAGCAGTTTGCAGAGGGATCCACGCTAAAGCTTGCCAAGCAGTGCAGGAAGTATGTTTGTGCTAAAAAAAATTGGTTATAGATTGAGGGAAATGTGTGGTCGCAAAAACAACAAATAATGAGTAGTTTTTCTCGATTTTGAAATAAGCAGCAAGCTATATCTCTTTCTTTTTTAGGTGGCTGTGTAACGAGTCTCTGCCCCCAACCTCTCGCCGGTGGTCTGTGGAAGGACTCGCCTACCTCACCTTTGATGCTGATGTGAAGGAGGACTTAGTGGAAGACAAGAACGCTCTCTTGGCCATGTGTGAACTAGCAAAGGTTTGATTGATGTTTTCACACTTTGTAGTTATTGTGATATTTATTCTTGTGTATTATTTTTAACCATCGCCATGAGAATATATCTTTTTATAGTGTTGACTGGAATAGCTTTGACAACCTTGTTTTTTCTTGCTGTTCATGCAGTCTGAGGATAAGACGGTCCTCTTTGCTGTGGGCTCCACATTAGTAAATTGCACCAACAGCTATGAAGTGGAGAAGCCAGACCCCCAGATGGTTGAGCTGGCCAAGTATGCAAAGCAGCACGTACCCGAGGAGCACCCCAAGGTACCATTTAAATGTTCCTTTTTACATCACACAATATTTCTTTTAATATTGCACTGTAGCTTGTACTATTTTACTTTTTACATAAACCTGCTTGTCTTGTCATGTGTCAGGATGCACCGTCCTATGTGGAGAAAAGACTTGGGAAGCTGCTGGAGGCTGGTGTAGTGTCTGCCTTGGTGTGTATGGTCAAACAGGAGAGTCCTGCCCTCACCGAGGCTTGTAGGGAGTGTATCGCCAGGTACGAAAAAATGGCAGTAAGTCTTCTTCACTCAGTGTTCTCTCTGTAGATAGATTTTCTGTTAATGCCATTTCTCACGGCAGGGTCTTTTTGGCTCTGGTGGAACGGCAGCAAGACAGAGGCACAGTGGTGGCACAGGGTGGAGGAAAGGTAGAACACCCTCATAAATATATTAAGCTTTGCCTGCACACTAATCTATTTACCTTGTTGTAGGAGGTTTGCATGATTTATGTTTACTTTTCTCCTCCACAGGCTTTGATCCCACTGGCATCTGACAACACAGATGTAGGTAAAATCAAAGCAGCACAAGCGCTGGCAAAAATAACCATCACATCCAACCCAGAGATTGCTTTCCCAGGGGAGAGGGTAAGAATTGTATTGTTTTCCTGTAAAAAGGCCTCTTCAGTAAAAAAAGTAATAAAAAAAAGCTAAAGAATTTCTCTAATTTTACCTTGTCTCACTTCTTGTTGTCAGATCTATGAGGTGGTGCGTCCCCTCAACAGTCTTCTGAGTCTTGAATGCACCCTGCTGCAGAACTTCGAGGCACTCATGGCTCTCACCAACCTGGCCGGCATCAGTGAGAGACTCAGGTTGGCCACTAGGGGGAAGCCTCTCCTAGGAATACATGTACAAAACACATAGTTGCAACAGGACATGATTTGTTTGTTGTTTACTTGTTTGCAGAAGCCAGACCTCAGTGTAATTCTTCTGTTTTATTTACAGTGTATACTTTTGAAAAAATCTACTTTTCTTAACATAATTTAATTGAAATTAGCTCAACATAATTTCCTAAATACATGTTTACACATTTTTATGGTTAAACACGTGTAAAAAATGATCTTACCAGAACTGTTTTTAGGACTCATTATTATTATGACTTATTTCAATGTGTACTGTATATTTAAAATTACATTTTCTAAGCTGTGTTAATAGTTTTGCATTGCCAATACTGAACACCCCTTCAGTGTATAGGCATATGTCCTGGTGCTGTGTTATTAATTTTTTATTGTTCTTGTGTTTTATCCAGTCAAAGCTTTACACTCTGATGCTTTTGCTAATGTATATTTTATTCTCACATCACAGTTTTGCATCAGTGCTTAGAGAATCTGCTTGTATTAATGAAGTATGTTGTTTCACAGACAAAAGATCATAAAGGAGAAGGCAGTACCAAAAATTGAAGGATACATGTTTGAGGAGCACGAGTTGGTCCGAGCTTCTGCCACAGAGTGCATGTGTAATTTGGTTTTAAGCACAGAGGTAAGACACATGTTCGTAGATGATTGTTTAGCACAAATATGTTGAAAAGTTGGAAGTAAAAGCAGCGGGTGTTCGTTGTTTTCTTCAGGTGCAGAAGCTGTATCTGGCCACGGGGAATGATCGCCTGAAGCTTCTTGTGCTCTACTGCGGAGAGGAAGACGAGAGGCTGCGGAAAGCTGCTGCGGGAACTCTGGCCATGCTGACTGCTGAGCAGCCTGAGCTCTGCGCCCGCATCCCTGGAACAGTAAGCACACGTCCATCAACTCAGCACTGTCACATGCTAAAATCATTCATTTCTCTATTTTAGCTCATACGACTCCCCGTTGTCCTTTCTTCTCTCAGACGACCCACTGGCTAGAGATTGTACAGGCGCTGTTGCTCAGTGAAATATCCGACCTGCGTCATCGTGGAGTGGTCATAGTTCATAACATGATGCAGGCGGAGAAGAGTCTGGCAGACACGCTCATGGAGAGCGAAGTGCTGGAGATTCTTTCTGTTTTGGCGAAGGGCGGAGAGGGCATGCCGGCAGCTGTTGCTAAGGTAGCTCAGAACTGTCTGGACAAGGCCGTGGAGTACAACATCATCAAGTCTAGGGAAGGGAAGGAAAACCGCGAAGGAACTGAGCCCTAAAAACACAGGTGCACGATATGGATGCGCCTCGGGGGAATTTTTAAGTGCTTCAAGTATTATGTGGGACCAGTGAAGTCATTTCACTTTTGCAGGAAATCAGTTTTGGTATGGATGGGAACAAGCTGATCCTGAAATACTCGTGTCTTAACCAAAAACTGTGAAAAGCAATAAAAGAAATTATTGAAGAAAGATATTAAATGAAAACCAGCTGATACTCACAGAGGTGTTTTGTGACAAATTAGCTTCGATTGCTGTTTCATGTTGCTTTTCCACTGATTGTATTTATCTTAATTATACTTGTATGTTCCACTTAGAGACAATAAGGCTACTCTATACATTCTTGTCATTGCCATTCCTAGACATTTGCAAATGTTTTTATTTGTAATTATTAGTCTTCAACATTGTATTTTTTTTTTCATTTTATACACTACTATTCTCATTCCTAAAATTTGCTCTAAACAACACATCAACAAACATTCACATGTCTTCACATAATTGTGTGATTTTTGTTTTTAATTTTTATTAGAGTCACTATTGTTTTCATATTGCTAACAAGTGTTTACCTATACTTCAGCAACACATCTACATCATGCTGATTTCTGCTGAAAAACACATTTTGTCCATTAAATACTAACTCTACATTAGAAAACATGTCTCAGTTCTACCTGCATACAGACAATATGAAATCCATTGTTTGTTCTAATTCAGTTTCCCTTTACTGTAAACCACTCTAGGTTTTTTTTTTTATTGAGCGTTGAATCTGTGCAGTTAAAGTGAATGAGTCATCTTTACAGACTGTACCCTGCAGTAGAAAAAAACATTGTGTCAGAATGGCTGCAGTAAAGACTTTATTGGCGTCATGAAATTACTGCCAGTGACCACAAACTATTTAACATTTGGTTTCAAATGTATAAAAATTAAATGTCACTTGTCCTGATCTAACTACTCTTCTCCCTGGTCTTCTTCCTCTCCTTTACGTAACTGTTTCTCTCTCTGCATGCAAAATCTGTAGGGGTGACAGAACATTTCAGTCATTCGTTTTTAATCTGTTAGAATAAATAACACTAATTAATGAAATCCCTGATAGAGAGATTTGACAGTCCCATAGAGATTGTGAGATCTGTACATGTTTTGTTTTTTTAAAATGTAATTTTTGTTAAGATGTTGAGATTTTTTTAAAGTTTGCTTACATTTGAGGAATTTCACAAACATAATTGCATGACTGGAGGATAATATTATCTATCCAAACTTCCCTCTGCATGGCTCCACCTTGTGGAACACAGTTAAAATGAAAACTTGAGGCAAGATTGCTTTGAAGAAAAAGGTATCTTGATGATACAAATCACAATAAGCTGTATTTGTTGTTTAACACATTTTTTAAAGTTTCTTTAGAAACTGTTCTTCATACAGTTGATCAGAAATACTTTAAAAGTATTCATTTCAATAATAATTACAACAACAATATCCAGGCTAATCTATTCATAGTCATTTATGTCCGTTTTACAGAATATTCACAATTTAAAAAAAACCAAAACGAGTAGCTTATCCCCCATTTGACTCAATACTACTTGTATTGTGTATGGACAGTCTTTACAAATAAATTTAAACATAATCATCAAAATGGGTAAATAACAAATGAAAATCCTGGATTAAACATTTAGATTTCTAACAAAAAAAGTTAAACAAACTAGTTGCATACATTATTCCCCACTGATGAGCTCCTCTCTGTCCAGTGCGCCAATAGTGGGGCGCATGCGCAGTACAACGACATAAACACAAACCAACCAGTGTTGAAACTTTGCGGGTAACTGCGTTGCACGGCTCAGCTGCGCTTCGATGAGAAACCAAACAGGGGTAAAGCGTTTCCAATGCGGTGGTTCGCGTTTGGTTTCAACGCATTTGGACAGATATATGTCCATGAGAAACTGATTAAAGGAGAGTGTAGCGACGCTGTTAATGAAATCAAAGTGAGCAGCCCAACAGAGCTGGCCGGTCGGGCGGACTGCTGCTTGAACACTGACAGTCAGATTAGAGCCAGCTGGAGTCGAAGAGCATCTTTGCATTTGGATGGTAAGTTTTTATCAGAGTTAAAGCAACCATAACAGCTCTGGTTGTACACCCTTATTACCACCTGTAATATAAACAGAAGCTATCTACTCGTTATTTGAACCCATGCACTACTTTTGATCTTAGGTGGCAGCCGTGTGTGCCTGGCAGGTTTCGGGGCAGTCCTCTCCAGTGAGTCCTGTAGCAGCTGTATGAAGGAGAGCCGTGGCTGTAAGGATGCCTTCATCAGTGAGTCCTACTTGACCCTCGCTTTCCCAGACAGAATTGAGTCCTGGGATCTGCAGAAAGAAGAGGAGACTCCATCATGGAGCATGGAAATAAAAAAGGAGAGCCATGGTAATGTTTATCCTAATCCCATTTGACAGCTACTAGAAGTATGTTGTTATAACTGATTGAAGCTGCTTTCCAGGACCCCCTTTGAATCTCCCATTGGTCCCTGGGGGTTACATAGCCACAAAAGCACCCTTCTACCGCTCTTTATCGCCACACCTGAAAGCCAAGAGTCTGGCACTGAGTGCAGAGCACGCCATCCTTCTCAGTGCCTCTGGAGCTGTGTACACCTGGGGACTGGGCAGGTAGGCCCCTAATACTCACACACCTGTCTAGACACCCTCATGCGTACCCTTGCACACATATCTTGATCTTTTTGTGTGTGTATCGGTTTAATCAACAGCCATGGTCAGCTGGGGCATGGGGACCTCACCTCTGAGGAGGAGCCCAGGGCAGTGGAGGCACTTTTGGGGATGCCCATGAGCTGTGTAGCTACAGGAAGCTGGCACTCTGTCTGCATTAGTGGTGAGTGTCATACTGGATGCTGGCATTGGTCAAAATGGTCATGTCCTCATCTTGAGAAAAAAAAATGAACTAAGATGACCTTTTTCTTCAGATGGAGGGGATCTATATGTGTGGGGCTGGAATGAAACAGGTCAGCTTGGACTTCCATCACGAGGTCTGAGGAAAGCACTGCAGGAGCAATGCAGCCAACAAGCAGGTAAATCTGTTTTATTATCAAATTAAGTATTTTAAAAATCCAGGAAAGGGACTTTTCATTGACATTTCTTCTTCTATTAATCCAAATACATGTGTGTAATTAGCTGAGGTGTACCTCACAGCAGTACAGTGCACTGAACTGCATTGTTTTTTTGTGTGGCATGGCCATATAGTTACAATACTCTATGCTTCAACTTAAAAAAAATCCACATCATCTACAAAGGATGCTGCAGTCTTTAAAATTAGTAACCCTGAACAGAAAAAGAAATGTGGATTCACTGTCATCACTGCTTTAAAAATAAACTAAATGTCATCAAACTCCATTGTATTAATGAGTCACAGCTGATCTATCCAACTTTACAAACTATTTGAATATACAGACAGCACTTGAGCTATGGGAAATGCTTTATATTGTTCATTAATGGACCACCCCCCCTTGATTGTAAAAAGTTACATTCTGGGCTACGGTAGAAATCTGTCCCTCTGTAGCTCATTCTAAGGTAGTGGTTCCCACACTGTGGGGCACTGAGCCAATGATGTGGAGTGAATCAAAGTTTAATTATTTTGATTTATGTCAGGAAAATAAACAAGATGTTTTCTGCTGCTACTGTGCTGACCTTTATTCCACTAAAATCCTATTGGATCCTTTTTTTATTAGCTTTTTTATTGTTAATGATGGCTAAGAAATGTGTGGGTGTGAACTTGTTTTGGCTTTTGGAGAAAGTTGGACAAACACTGTTTTAATTTATTCTTATTATAGGGTGATTATACTCTAATGGAAACATATCTCAGAATATGATATTCAGTATCTGTCAATAGATCCTAGACATGTTACTCACTGGACCTTTTAAGTCACAGTAAGTAGTAAGAACTGCAACATAAACTCTACAGGAACAGGAGCTCCATGCCAAGATGGCAGTACTTCTCCTCCTGAAGAGCCACAAGAGGGAGAGAAACTCGACGAGGTATTCATATCGATCCAGGCATTCCCGGCTCTGCTGGATATCACTCCATCCTGTGAAATCAGGACAGTCAGCTGTGGCTCCCGCCACACAGCTGCAGTAACAAGTAAGAACCCTCACTTGGCATTGGGTGTATACTGATGCACAATTTCTTGCTAAATCAGTGTCATCGTCATCTTTATATTATATTTTATCATTTCAGCAACAGGTGACCTCTACACCTGGGGCTGGGGTAAGTTTCAATTTGTAGTTTAATCTGTTTTAAATGTGTAACACCTTTGTACCAGTGAACCAGTAATCTTAAGAGCCCAACCGGTTGAACTTACCCTGTTCATTATTCCTTCTGTTACCATTTCAGGTGACTACGGCCAACTTGGACACCAGACTTTAATCAGTTCGGATGAACCCCAACGTGTGGAGTTCTTCAGGGAGCGACAGATGTGTGTTTTTGATGTTGTGTGTGGGCCGTGGAATACTTTTGCTGCTGTTGTCAAGGAGGAAGTAGCTTAAAAATACATTGATAAATGTGGACACTGGACTTTGGACAACCAGGAAATATAAATGATCACAACAAATACGGGACTTTGAATCAAATGTATTTTGTTACATATGAATACAGAAGTTCCTCTCATTTTTTTTCTGTGTAAAAAAGAAACTTTGTTTAAGTAGTAAATATTTTTAATTTTCTGTATAGAAATAAAAATATCAGGTTTTGTATTTCACAAACGGTACATAAAAACAGTTAAGGCAGTAAAATCCATAGGTTAATATAATTTAAGGCAAATATCTAAAAGTGTTCTAATTTAAAATTAAACACAATATGAGAATTAAAGAGTGGTGCGTTTCCACAGCCCACTGAAGGTCTTCACAGCACAATCTTGAAAGAACTGTGGAGGAATGAAAACATAATAGAAGCAGTTAGAGAGAACAAAATTGTGTTGAGTAAAATACATATCGGTGATGAGTTATTAGATTTCTAGTCACCTGACGAAATCTGGCGATCTTGAAATGACATGCTGAAACTCTGAGAGGTTCACGGTTCCATCCTTATCAATGTCAGACTCCTCAAGAATCTAAAAAACAACAAAGAAAACATCGGTGTGCCAACCTGCAACAACATCAGTGTTTCTCCCAACAGCTTTTAATGAGGAGAAGCATCAAGTGAACTCACATTGTTGATGAGCTGTCTCATTTCTTCTGTTGTTAGTCTAGTCTCATCTGTCTCACCGGTCAGGCAGTTAACCAGCTTCTCGAGATCACCACAATCAAGAGTTCCATCGTCGTCAAAGTCTGAAAGCATCAATATGCTTATTACACGGACGTATAGCATTACAGGAATGATTAATAACCAGCTATTTTTAACCTATTTACCAAATATGCGGAACGCATAGTGGGATTTTATCTCCAGAGTAGCAGAGTCGCTGAAGGCACTCAAGAGATCCAGAAAGTCCTCAAATGTGAGGCTTCCATCTTTCTGTTCAGATGTTGAGAATACATAGCAGATCCTTTTCCTGAAAGGGTTGGACTGTGACAGGGTGCAAGTACAAGGGTCAGCACTGGTTTATCAGTAGCACTTAACTTCCTCAAGAACACACAAAGCACAGGACGATCCCTGTCACATTTCCTCTGTTCAACTCTCAGATAGCTTTCTCACCTTGAGCTCTGGTAGAGTAAGAACCCTCTCCATTGATACTCTGGTGTTTGGAAGGTCCTTCTCATCTTTTGTGAGCAATTCGGTGAATCTCTTGTGAGCACTAAACAGACAAACAAACAACAAACAAAAAAAGAAAAAGCTGAATCATGCACCGGAAAAAGCGATGCTGGACTAAAATGCTTCTTTTATTTTAAACCGGTAACATATTCACGACATGCAGCTGATCACTCACAGAAGAATTTCCTGCTTGGTCAAGAATGTCAGCTCCTAAAAGTAAAAGTGCAGCATTATTAGAATAACAGCCACAGATTAACCAGAAAAAGTACTTTAGTGTGTGTCTGTTCTTCTTGTGATATTAGCAACAACAACATTAGCTCTCACTAGCTTCAGTCGCGTAAATACAAGCAGCTTTTCACATTACGTTCAGTTTAACACAGGAAATACTACAAATACAGAAGACTAAGTTAGTGAATCATACAGTACTTCTGTTGACAATGCTGTGATAGTTGTCTGCCCCGTTACGTTATCCCTGGTTATTAACAAACACTGCTCTGAACTTCAGCCTCTCGGTTATCGATATAATGTTTGCTTTTGTTTACTTTTGAGCACTTACTTGGTATTCTGAGAGCAAATCCTTCCCGAGTTGACTTGCCGTGGTGCCCATCTTCAAACTTTCGACTCGAAAACTCTACTTTTGTTATTGTAAATAGTTTCCCACCGAACTTCCCGAAGTAGAAAACTGTAGTTGTGTTTTTTTTACGTAGCCTACTTCCGGGATCCGGCTGGCGCATTCTCTGTCCCGCCTTTAGCTACGTAACGGTTACCATAGTGACGTTCTTGCAAACGGCTGAACTCCGACAACCAACAGGTGGCAGCTGAAGCTAAGAAAAGCGTAGTTTGGTGTAGTTTTAACCTTTTTCACCCCCCACTGTGTCGTTTTCTCGGGAAGAGAGGAGGACTGAATCGGACTGGAGGTGTTTCAGGTAGCCTACAGTGTGTTAACTAGTGCCACCAACCCATCCAGCTACTTCAATATACCATAATGCGCTATACAAAAGTTAAAGCAAGTTTAAACTTAAAGCAAAGAAGACTAAGATATTGCTTACATTTTGAATAAAAGTAAGATTTATAGTTGGCAGTAAACTATAAAAAACAAAACGTAACATTAGGCCTATTTAAATATTGAAAGTATACCCTGTATAGTGTTAAATTAAGTATTAAACACCAGGTCATTATTTTGGAGGAAGTCCGGGTACTAAGTATTATCTATCTCTATGGCACAGCAATGATGACTAACTGGACTGAACCATCCTCTGCCTCAAACATTTAGGCTACAACTATAAATCCTTCTATATCTTCTTTTCTGTTTTCTTTTTTTAAAATATATAGTTGTTTTCTTTAAATTGATTCATTAATCCTGTTTACATGCTTCCTGTCACAGTGTTAGTAATGTATAACTTCCCAAAGCAAATCCAAAGTAAAACTCCAATAACTGTTCAAATCATCTTAATTTTATTGTATATTTGCAGCAAACAACATATTTTTTTCAAAAGAAATCAGGCCATCAATAATATTTGTCTTCTATAAAGTATAAGTCATAACAGTAAGGCTTACTATACAAACAATAAAAAAGGAATATAATCATATATCTACAAAAATGCAGCTTCTGGTAATGTATAAATTCACAAAGCATTTGGTAACCTATTTTTCTGCACAACAACTAATGAAGATGAGAAATAGAGGCTCTTGACAGGAAGATCGGGAGATGATTACTTCAGCGCTCCAAAGGAGACGAGCTATGCTCCTGAATCTGTCTCCCAGTCTCTATCTGAAATGAACAGAAACAAAGAATAAACATGAACAAAAACAGAACAGAATTCCTCATAATGCAAGAAATAATATCAGAAAGTGAAAGAAGATGCTTAATAGGTCGTCTTTTACATCCCACTTTATTTAATATCATTAATCCCATCAAATATAACAACTTTTGTGTTTATTCTTCACAGATTGTACCTGTCATTTTCGTTCCCTCCTTGGTCTCAGCTGGAACGCCAATCCCGTACTCGTTTTCAGCGGTGATTCTGAAGAAGTAGATTCCTCCCTCCTCCAGGTCAGACACCCTATAGGACAGTCGCCGGCACTTGTCAGTGAGTCTTGTCCACCCTTTTCTGCTGATGTCCCGTATATCTACAAGGTAGTTCTTGACAGGGGCTCCACCCTCATTCTCAGGGATGTCCCAGGAAACAGTGGCAGAGCTCTTGGTCACGTCTTTAACTGCTATACGAGTGGGTGGACCCGGTGAATCCAAAACCCTCACATTCAGTGTCAAAGAGGCAGACCCAGCAACGTTTTGCAGTTTGACTATGTATTTGCCAGAATCGTCCCGTGTTGCCCCTTCCAGTGTGATAGAGGTGACGGAGCTGCTGGTGTTGATCAGTCCTCTGACTCTCAGATCTACGTCTGCTTTGTCCCATGTCACATTGGGAACGGGTTTGCCCGTGAAAGGCACAGTCAAAGTGAAGGAGCTGCCATCTTTAACAAGCAGGGTCTTCCTCATCTCAGCGGTAATGTCAAACCTGGGCTCCTCCTCTCTTTCCATGGCCACTTGAGGATCTGTTTCAGGACTGGGCTCACTCATGCCAATCTTGTTTATGGATCTGACAATAAACACATATTCTGTCCCCGATGTGAGTCCACTAACTGTAAACTCAGTTTTATCTGTATTTTTGACACCAACAGTCCAGTCTTCTTCTGTTGATTTCCTGAATTCGACTTTGTATCCAGTCACTGCTGCTCCACCATCAAACAGCGGCTTGTTCCATGACAGAGTGATGGAGGACTTGGATGAATCGATTATGGTGGGTTTTGCTGGAGGGGAAGGTAGAAACTTTGGATCCTCTGCCAGAGTGAGTGAGCATGGGAGACTTGGTTCACTTAGCCCACCAGCGTTCTCAGCAAAAACTCTGAATTCATACTCACATCCCTCATGTAGGCAGGAGGCCTTGACTCGTAGGTCATACACTGGTTTCTTATTGACACGAACCCAACGAACACCCTGCTTCTCCCTCTTCTCTATAATGTAACCACTGATGCGACTGCCGCCATCAGTGTCAGGTCGTTTCCAGCTGATAGTCATTGTATCCCTGGTTGCACTTGTGACCTCAACATCTGTTGGAGCAGATGGGATAGTAAAGGGATCCACGGCCTTTATAGGCTCACTTTCCAACGTTTCACCTTCCCCATACTTATTCACTGCCTTTACCCTAAACAGGTATTCGTTTCCTTTGAGCAGCTTGGTTATTTTGCAAGTAGTTGCCATCATGTCACCGTAGACAAGGATCCAAGCTACACGGCTGGTTTCACACTTCTCAACAATGTAGTACATGATCTCTGCCCCACCGGTCTCATGAGGAGGTCCCCATGACAGGGTGCATTTCTCTGCTGAGAGTCCAGAAACTTCCAGTGGTCCAGCAGGTGGGCCGGGCCTGTCCAGGACCTTGCAGGTGATAGCCTTAGATATGGTACCACCTGTATTCTGTAGGGTCAGAGTATACTGTCCAGAGTCTTTCCTAACACTTTCTCTGATAAGTAGAGAGGTATGCGTCTTTGTTGCAGTTATTTCAACCCTTCCCTTGGTGCCAATATTTCTACCATTCTTCAACCAAAACACTGTAGGGTTGGGGCGTCCAGAGATATCAGCATCTATTCTTAGGAGGTCTCCTGCTTTAACAACCACCACCTGTCTAAATTTGTCCTCCACGGTAATTTTGGGTGGCTCTACGTCGTGCTGCACCGTAACAGGTCCGGTGGTTTCAGAGGGGGCACTGAAGAGCTCAGCTGAATTTTTTGCAATCACACGAAAATCATACTGCTCATCCTCTGTGAGGCCAGTCACTTCCAAGAAGGTGTCCAGTAAGTTGGTGAAGTTGCACTTAAGCCAGCAGCTATCTGGAAGCTCTTTACGCTCAACAATGTACCCAGTTATTTTAGCCCCACCATCATATTCTGGCTTGTCCCATGAGAGGGAAACTGAGCTGTTAGTTATATTGGTGACTGTGAGGTTGCGTGGGGGATCACACTTGTCTCTCGCTGCCACAGGCTCAGATGTCTTACTGCATGGTCCAACACCAGCCATGTTCTCAGCACAAACCCGGAACTCATATATCAGACCTTCTTCAACACTTGTCACCTTAAACTGGTTTTCAGACACTGGGTTTTTGTTTAACTTTGTCCACAAAATACTGCTTTGATCTTTGCATTCAATATGATAACCAATAATAGGGCTGCCACCATCGCTGTCTGGCTTACTCCAAGCAACCACCATCACAGACTTTGAGGCATTCACAACTAGGAGATTGGTTGGTGGACCAGGGGCCTTAAAGGGATACTGGGCGACAATAGGATCAGACTCAACAAAGTGGCTTCTGCCGTAGCGATTCTCTGCGGCAATACGAAACTGATATTCATTGCCCTGTGTCAGACGGGAAATTTTGATTGATGTTCTGGCAACTGTAGCTGACACAGTCTGCCATATCGTGCTGCCTGTATCTCTCTTCTCAACAACATAATTACTAATTTGACACCCGCCAGTATAATGTGGGGGCTGCCATGACAAAGACATAAAGTCAGCACTCACTTCATCCAGACTGAGGTCACATGGTGGTCCAGGTCTTTCAAAAACATTAACAAAGATTTCAGCAGATGCGCTTCCAACCGAGTTGGCCAGGGTCACCTCATACATTCCAGCATCTATTCTGGTTGCGTCTTTGATAATCATCTGAGATGATGTGTCAGATGTGTACACATTTACCCTGCTTGTCTCTTTCAGCAGGTTGCCCTCTTTTTTCCAGGCTACTGTTGGCTGTGGTACACCCTTGAATGGAACATCAATCTTTAAATCATTCCCTGCCTTCACACTGAATGTGTTTGACAGCAAATTCATAACAGGCTCAGCACTAGTATCATTTATTGTAACAGGTGCCAAAAGGGTCTTTGGTTCACTTTTTCCCTTTTCATTCACAGCACTCACTCTGAAGAAATACTCCTTTCCTCTAGCCAGTCCATTAATAGTCACTTCCAGTGCTCTAGTCTCTGAACATATTGTCCATGTGTCATCTCCCTTAGCCTGCATTTCTACGATATAACGTGTGATTTTGCTTCCTCCATCGTGGTCAGGCTTCTCCCAAGAGAGTCTTCCACTATTGCAAGTAGCATCACTGAATGTGATTTTTCCAGGAGGCAGAGGAGCCTCAGACACTTTAACTGCCTCAGCAATCTCTGCTGGCAGTCCAGTGCCAAACTCATTAACAGCCAGGACACGGAAATAATAGAAGCATCCTTCCTGGAGATTGTCAATCTTATATGAGTTTCTCACACAGTTGCTACAGATGCTTGTGAATGCCTTCCTAGCCTCCTCTCGCTTTTCAATGATGTAGTGCGAAATCTTTGATCCTCCGTCAATGAGAGGTGCCTCCCAGGAGATGGATACAGAATCTCTCTTTACATCCTTCACCTCTAAGTTTGTTGGTGCACTGGGAGAGTCCATGACTCTGACATTGATAAATGCTGATTTAGAACCACTGTAGTTCTTAGCAGTCAACACATATTTTCCTGTGTCATTTCTATTGACATTCTCGATCAATAACACGGTGTAGGAGCTTGTTACCTCAATCTGAGCACGCTCACTGAGAGTTCCACCTTCCTTTGACCATTTAACCTCAGGCTCTGGCTTTCCTCTGATGGTGACAAAGAGACGTAATGTGGAACAGGCTCGAACACCAACAATCTTCCTCAAGGTAGCGTCTAACTCAATCTCAGGTGCCTCCAGCTTTTCAGCAGCTACCACAGACCCAGGCAGATCCACATGCTCTCCAACTCCAGCGGTGTTCATCGCACGTATACGAAAATTGTACTCTGCATTTCCTCTCAGTCTCTTCACGGTGAAGTTTGTGTCCTCTACACCTGTGCTCGGTGAGCATGTGATCCATTCATCCTCTGCTGCTTCTTTCATCTCAACAACAAATCCACTGATGGGTGCTCCACCATCATAGATGGGCTTTGACCAGGTAAGAGACACAGTACTGCTGGAATAGTCTGTTACTTTGGGATTGGTAGGGGGACCAGGTGGGTAAGTAGCTTCACATACTTTTATATACTCACTTGGCTCACTGGGTGCACCCACACCAGCAGCATTCTCCGCCAATACTCTAAACTGATAGTAATGTCCCTCAGCGAGCGCTGTGCATCGGAAACGCAAGTCATTTAGTCTTCTCTTGTTGCATTTAGTCCACCTGACACCTTCTTTGTCACGTTTCTCCAGGATGTAGCCATCAATCTCTGAACCTCCATCAGTCTCAGGCCTTTCCCATGTTAGCACTATAGAGTCGCCAGTCACAGTGCTGGCTGTCGGGGTAGAAGGTGCACTAGGTGTTGTAAAAGGATTTTGTGCAATGAAGGGTTCTGATTCTAGAAATTCACCAACACCGAATTTATTCACGGCAGCAATTCTGAATATATATTCTTTACCAGGTACAAGTTTTGTCACTTTATAACTGACGGCTTCCACATGAGGCTCAACCGCTGTCCATGTAACACGGCTGGTCTCCCTTTTTTCAATGACGAAGTGGGAAACACTGGCACCACCATCATTCAAAGGGGGGTTCCAGTGAAGATTACACTTCTCTGCACTGACAATTTTCACCTTCAGAGGTCCATCTAGAGGACCAGGTCTATCCAGGACCTTCACATTAACTGGGATGGATGTAGTTCCACCAATATTACTGAGGCTCAAGAGAAAGTGTCCCCCATCCACTCGTGTACAGTCCCTGACGGTCAAAGTTGTATGAGTGAGGCTGTTTTTGACTTCCATTCTTGGTGTAACTTTGTCAATTTCTTTTCCATCTTTCATCCATGTTACTTCAGGGAGGGGCTTCCCAAAGTAATCAGCCTCAATAACGAATGTCTCACCCGCCGGAACAACAGTAATACTCTTGAACTTAGGATCCATGAATGCTGTGGGTCCTTCAATAACATCTTGAGCGATGATGGTTACACTTTCTGAAGGCATGCTCCAAACACCAGCACCATTCTTAGCAGTTACTCTAAACTCATAACTTTGGCCTCCTGTCAGGCCTGTGACTGTGAACTGATTCTCAATAACATTAGTGAAGTTTGCCTTCATCCACCTGGTATCTGGGAGCTCCTTCTTTTCAACAATGTAGCCTGTAATGGTGCTTCCACCATCATAGCTGGGTTTTGCCCACTGAAGTGTGACGGTGTCTCTAGTAATGACAACAGCTTCAGGTTTACCAGGTGGATCACAGGGGTCTCTTGCCACATAGCATTCAGATATCTTGCTACATGGGCTGAGTCCAGCAATATTCTCAGCAAAGACTCTGAATTCATACTCAATGCCTTCCTCTAGTCCACTTGTTTTGAAGCGAGCGTCAGGTATAACAAGTTTGTTGAGCTTTGTCCATAAAATGCTGTTCTTCTCTTTGCGTTCGAGATGATAGCCGATGATGGGGCTTCCTCCATCTTTGGCTGGAGGCTCCCATTCAACCACCATGCTGTACTTTGTCACTGTGGATGCAAAGGGGCTGCCAGGAGCAGTGGGCACACTAAAAGGATATTGTGCAGTTACAATCGGAGAGGTGATTGCAGTACTCTTTCCATACCTATTTTCAGCCAATACTCTGAACTGGTATTCACTTCCTGTCTTGAGTTTAGTGACTTTGATTGTGGTTCTTACTGTCGTTGCTGACACAGTCTGCCATTCCGTATTTGTAGTTTCCCGTTTCTCCACTATGTAGTTGTCTAGGTCACAGCCTCCTGTATATTCTGGTGGCCCCCAGGAGATGATAACATAGTCAGAACTAATCTCATCAATCCTCACAGGGCCTGTGGGTGGGTCCGGCTTTTCAAGAACAACCACAGTGATTTCTCCTGTATATGTTCCAGCACTGTTGCTTGCTGTGATAGAGTATTGACCAGAGTGCTCCCTGGCACCATGTCTGATATGAAGAACAGTTAATGATGATGTATTTGAAATCTCTAGCCTTGATGTCTCTTTGACAGCTTGACCATCTCTTTGCCATTCAATCTTTGGTTCTGGGTGCCCAACCACTGGGATCTCTACTTTCAGATCTTGACCATTCTTGACAGTAAATGTGCTGAAAGTTATCTGAAGTTTTGGCTTAATAGCATTTTCCTTATCTGGGACAGGGTCAGATTCAACGTTATGGTTGTGTGCACCGTTCTCTGCAGAAGTGGCAGGCTGTCCTGGTGTGAGGAAAGAAAAGCATCAAATAAGCAGAAAATTAGATGATATCAGTGTGCAAAGCCAGACTAGGTTCATGTGGTAACTGATAAGCCAAATGAATTTATATGACATTTTAAAAGCATTTCAGTAAACATATTCATCTGTTAATTAAAATATTGATTCATTATTATATATTTTATTTTATTTTTTGCATGTATTTTAAATAATTGTGAGTCTGAAATGTTTTCTTGTCATAAATAATATGTATCATGACATACTGTGTTTTAAGTGGGTCATAGATATGTCTGAAAACATTTTCAACTATCTTTAGTATGCACCTGTCTGAGCAAGAATTTTATTCTAAGCCATTGGTTACAAACTCATCCAAGCTCAAAGGTCTACATGTTAGTTTTTCAGACTTTCCAACTATTTCTAATATTAATAAGACCATCAGGAGCAAAAAAAATAATAAGTGGATGACCAAGCTTATTTTGTTACATGTTATGAGTATTATAATGTAAACATAATTTAATTTAATTTTTAAAGAAAGTTTGAACATTCACTAAACTACACAGGGATATGATGAGTGCATGACATACCTTGGACAATGACTGTGCAGGGTGGCTGGGAATCCATGGCTCCTTGTTGGATATCAGTATCCCGTGTCGTATTTATATTTAGGGTCTGAGCTTTATCTTCTGCTGAGTTTCCCTTCTACAAAAGAGAATGGCACAAAACTGTCAGAGAAATTGAAATAAAAACAAGCAAACACAATCAGTGGAATGAGTTTTTTTCTTTTTTCTAAAACTGTTGTTTGGTTGTATGGAATGACCACATTAAAATTGTAATACATATTCAAACAAAATAGGATTTTGTTAAACTAACTTTAGTACTTTGAACCAGCTAGCATGGGGGTTATCTTAGTGGGTGTAATGTGTTGGTAATATAAACTCTTGATGGTGTTTAAAATAACTTGGCATGGCAGACCATACTGCCATCTGTTCTTCCAAGCAGATAAAACTCTATTATTATCTTAAGCTTAAAGTTCACATGAGGTTTTTTACTTTAGCCAGAAACAAGAGAAAGAAAATATTGTTAATCAAAAAGTAATTCTTAGATTTTCTTTCTGTATCTTATCTAAAAACGTTTAAGATATTATTGCTTACAAGTATTACATAACAGCTGTACTTACTTCGTTGTTGCTGGCTTCCATCCTCTCTCTTGTCCTTATTAATGGTAGAGAAAGAAAATGTGAATTCAGTTAATATCGTAGTTGAGATGCATAGACTGTGGTAAGCTCTAAAACTCTATGGCAGACATATACACGGCTCTGCCAATCACTGGCTGCTTTATCTCCAAAAGCATGTGGTGACTAAAATAACCGTGATGCCTGATTGGCCAGCTGCTCATTCTTTCAAAATGAGTTGAGCCTACATGGGTCAGCGGGGGAAAACTGGAAAGTTGCTTAACAGTGTAAGTATTGCACATACTATTCCAGTTAGAAGGGGGTTTACCATATGGCTTTACAAGTGGATATCTTCTTAATACACTGGTGTGTGTGTGTGTGTGTGTGTCCATTTGGGGGGGTTGGGTCGGTTATATTTGAACACATAACAAGTGGACAAGAGCCTTCCAGAACAAATGATCAGCCACTACAATACTGTGTGTGGGCGAAGGTTACAAGACACTTAACCTGTACTTGTTCACCTGTTCACTGAAGCCTGCAGTGACTTGATATTCAACAACCTGATACTCCTGGTGACATATTTCCTCCACGCATACAAGTGAAGGAAAATGAAACCTCTTTTTCATGTTTTTAGAAGGGACTTTGTGGACATCATCATCATCATCTCAGTGCTTTAAAAGTGATAAAAGGGAAACGTGCAGTCACTCCTCAGAACTTAAGAAGAACTGAAAAAACTATTTATTTTATTTGTATTTATTTTTTTATATTATTTATGTTATTCCATTATATCATTTGTTATTATATAATTATCATATATAATTTAAGTTATCTATCTTATATAGTGTGCCTTGTAAGCTATGTAGTGTTTACTGTCGTTATATCTTCATTTTATTGATGTTTTTAAATGTATCATCTTTTATTATTTAAATTCTGGTTTAAATATATGTTTGTAAGGAATCTTTTATTCATCGCATTTCTACAACTCCTATCATTATGAACCTATAAATGCAGAGAAATGCGTAAAAATAAAACGTACAACTTTTGTTGGAACATTTATTCTGGAAAAAATGAACCGGAAATGCACCAATACACACCGACGAAGAAGAACACGTGCGGCTAGCCTGCAGGAAATGTGTTAACAGAAGAAGAAAGCTAGCCGGTGCTAGGAACGAGAACAAGATAAATAAACGCAAATGTGAATAAAAGTTTATCTTGTGGCTTATTGAAGGCGATTCATCTGCTGTTTGTGCCAAGATTTAGACACAGTCATATAGAGTTAGAATAAAAAAAAGGTAAGTAAGCTGTCAAAACAAATCAACGTATGCTTGTGCCACTGGGAATCAACCATTTACTTTGTGTAATGTAGAGTTGGCTATTGGGTGGACGATCTGTAGACTATATCCAGACTTTAAACTGCCTATAAATGTCTCCATTTGCACCATTAAAGACAATTTCAGAATGGTGATGCTGATTTAAAGCTCATTATACTATTTATAGTCCCTGTGGGGTTGTGATGGACACTGACAGCCTGTTTAAGTTACTAAAATAACTTGCTGCCAATTGTTGTTCATTTCTGTGTTTTTATGCTTGCTGCGGCACAAATTGCCCACTTGTGACAAACCATTCTTGACAGTAAATGTGCTGAAAGTTATCTGAAGTTTTGGCTTAATAGCATTTTCCTTATCTGGGACAGGGTCAGATTCAACGTTATGGTTGTGTGCACCATTCTCTGCAGAAGTGGCAGGCTGTCCTGGTGTGAGGAAAGAAAAGCATCAAATAAACAGAAAATTAGATGATATCAGTGTGCAAAGCCAGACTAGGTTCATGTGGTAACTGATAAGCCAAATGAATTTATATGACATTTTAAGAGCATTTCAGTAAACATATTCATCTGTTAATTAAAATATTGATTCATTATTTTATATTTTATTTTTTTTTTGCATGTATTTTAAATAATTGTGAGTCTGAAATGTTTTCTTGTCATAAATAATATGTATCATGACATACTGTGTTTTAAGTGGGTCATAGATATGTCTGAAAACATTTTCAACTATCTTTAGTATGCACCTGTCTGAGCAAGAATTTTATTCTAAGCCATTGGTTACAAACTCATCCAAGCTCAAAGGTCTACATGTTAGTTTTTCAGACTTTCCAACTATTTCTAATATTAATAAGACCATCAGGAGCAAAAAAATAAATAAAAATATATAGGTGGAATATAGGTGGATGACCAAGCTTATTTTGTTACATGTTATGAGTCTTATAATTTAAACATAATTTAATTTAATTTTTAAAGAAAGTTTGAACATTCACTAAACTACACAGGGATAGGATGAGTGCATGACATACCTTGGACAATGACTGTGCAGGGTGGCTGGGAATCCATGGCTCCTTGTTGGATATCAGTATCCAGTGTCGTATTTATATTTAGGGTCTGAGCTTTATCTTCTGCTGAGTTTCCCTTCTACAAAAGAGAATGGCACAAAACTGTCAGAGAAATTGAAATAAAAACAAGCAAACACAATCAGTGGAATGAGTTTTTTTTTCTGTGCACAGCATTTCTGTGTTTTATGCTTGCTGCAGCACAAATTGCCCACTTGTGACAAAGGATTAACTGCATTGAATTGAATTGAGTCTAATTTGAAGTTGTAAATAGAAGCTAAAAGATAACAATCACACTATTGGTTGTGTGGATCCGCTAGTCAATGAAGTTATGTGAAGTTTGGAAACAGAAGAGGACATTAAATACAGTGTATGATTCACCCACCCCTAGTTTATTTTGTGTTTCTGCCCTCCAATGATGTTACAGTCCTGATTTCTGAGCTGCCACTTTCACTAAGTTCTGGTTATTTGCAGCCCTAATGGCCACAGAGTCCACATGTAACAGAGTCTGGTGGTTCAGCAGGGTTACACCTAACAGCCTACCATAGTGAACTGTGTTGTAAAATCTCATGCTCCACTGTTCACCTGCAGATCCAACCATGCCGCTCCAGTTTGTGTACAGCAACCAGGACTTTGTGACAGATGTGTGTCGCAGCAGTGGAAACAGTCTTGGAACGGCATCGCCACCAGTAAAGTTTGACACAACCATCCAAGCAGGCTGGACAGACAGGATGGAGAGGGGACTTTTCCGCTACCACCTGGGTGATTTACAAACACGTATCCTGCCAGGCCCGCATGGCTACGTGGCCCAGTTGAATATTCAAAGAGGATTAGAGAGGAGAAAGCCGCAGGAGATACTGAGCATTCAGCAGGAGTTCAATGCCAAGCAGTTCAATTTTAACAAAATCAACCCAGAAGAGATCATATTCGAGATGATAAAGGACACTGAGGGAGGGAATGACAAAGTACAGTCGCATCAACCCTGCAGGATGGTTGTGCTGGTCAATGTCAGCCCTTTGGAGTTCGGACATTGTCTCTTTGTTCCAGATCCTTCGCGGTGTTTCCCACAAGTCCTGACGACGTTCGCCGTACAGGTTGGGATAGAATCTGTGCTCCTGAGCTCTGATCCTGGCTTCCGTGTGGGGTTCAACAGTCTTGGAGCATTTGCGTCAGTCAATCATTTACACCTACATGGGTATTACCTGGACCATGAGCTCAAGATAGAATCTATGCCGGTCAAGCCACTGGCTCCTGAAAAGGGGTTTTATCGCTTGTTGGACTTTCCCGGAGGGTTCTTGTTTTACACAGACTCGGAGCGGGTGGTGGATGTAGCCAGAGCCATCTGTGGAGTCACAGACTTTCTTGTGGACAGTAACATTGCTCACAACCTGTTCTTGACTAGAGGATGTCCGCCCTGGGATCGCAGACAGAATGAAGAGGATCACAGTTCAAGAAAAGGTGTTCGTATCGCTGTTTGGCCCAGAATATCGTGCTTCGGTGCCAAGGAGGAGTCTGCCTTCAATGTTGCTCTCTGTGAGTTGGCTGGACACTTACCATTTAAGAACAAGAAGGACTACGAGCTCACTACAGAGAACGATGTAATAGGTATCATCCAGAGGTATCTTCTGCCCGATGCAGAGTTTCACACGTTGGAACAGCAGCTCACTCGTCATTTGATGGATTTATAATGTGTCAACCCACCTGGTCATGGAGTTCAGATCAACTAGATTAGAAGCTACACATTCTTCACAATGTGCTGAAAATCAAGTTCTGAAATGTGTTTTTGGTAATTGCAATTCAGAAAAAAAGGTACTTTGGGATCTATACTAAATCTATATTTATTAATGAGATGAGATGGACTCGTGTGTTGTATTAAAACTGGTTAAAAATCTAAAAATATGTACGTTGTATTTATTTTGTGAGTTCCAGCTCCAAATCTTTCATAACACACATTTTGACATGTGGAATTAAAAGAAGTGCAGGTTTAATTAATAACATTATTATTGGATGTACCCCTTTAAGGGCTTTGCTTGATCATGCAGGCTCACTGACATTGACGGAGATGGAACAGAGCCATTCTTAATGTTACTTATTCCACCTGTGCTTTTTCTCTGAAGACAGAATCTGTTTTGAAGGAGCCCTGTGATGTAATGTTTATTGATACAAAAGGAACATGGAGGTATGTTTTTCCAAGGCAATAATATCCAGTCCTGTTGATGTGGAGATGAGTCTAAGGTCAGTGATCATTTAAAGATGACATTGAGTTATTTGTAACTTTTTTTTGAGGGGTGCTTTTTGTCTTTAATTGATAGGATAACTCAAGACAGGAAAGAGGAAGGGGGGGATGACATGCAACAAAGGGCCACAGGTGAGACTTGAACCTATGACTGCTGCAGCAAGGACTCAACCTTGGTACATGGGGTGCCAGCTCTGCCAGGTGAGCTACCAGGGTTCCCCCTATTTGAGGTATTTAAAAATGTATTGTTTTCAGACTGCTCTCTTGTGGCAACGGGCAACACTGAAATCATTCAACAGAAGAGTGTAAACTGGAAATCACAGATGATGTGACAACAGTGTGTGTCAGATTGAGCCTTGTAGTTTAAGTTAAAAGAAAAGCAAAAAACGATCCACAGTATTTCCCCTTTTGCTACCCAGTGCACTCTTCAGAATTCAGCAGCTGCCAACCAAGCACAGTCTGTACGCACCCACATAGTCCTGAGTAGAGGTTTATTCATATACAATAATTGAAAGCACCTGTGTGGGTTGTTGCACTGTGATTGTGTCAGCAAAGGGTGCTGGAAGGTAGTTATACTGTAGATCTCTTTCATGGAAAACATTGAGTCATGGCACAGTAGGAAAAGCAGAAAGCAGAGGTATAAATAATAAAATGACTTCCATTTAGCTGATTTTGCTTTAAATGGTGCATGCTGGCTCACTGTTACTAACTGAGATTAGTAACACCTGTGCTTTTCATGCTATGACAGGTCAAAATGAGTGTTGTGAAGAAGGCCTATAAACCAGGGCTGTTTGTACATCACTCACTTTATGCCCATTATGGATTCCTGCTGGGATGTGTAAGTGTAGTTATCACCATTCTTTACTATTCAGGCACTTGCTTCTTCAAACATTGTGCAGCTGGCAGTTGAATTGACACAAAATTAAGCATCTATGTCTCATTAGTGGTGGCCTTAAGGTTATAGAAGTGGGCCCTTGACATGAAGGTTGTCGATTTGGGTGGGGAAATCGGAAAAATAGTGCTTGCTCCACCCTCATTACCACCAAGGAGTTTACCTTGAGTGAGGCCCTTAACCCCAACTTTTTCAATGAAGCTGCTAAGGGGCCAGCAGGTCAGCCTGTGGTTGTACTGGGCAGCTTCCAGGGTTGAATGTGTGGTCCAAGTGTTCCAGCTAAAGGAAGCTGGGCTCTCAGTAAAACTTCTCATTATAGATAAAGGTTAGGAAAATAGGAAAAGGAAAAAAAAACACATGGTTTTCCTTTATTCTAAAGACTACACTAGATGCTTCTTCAATAAGCCAGACAGCAGTGCTCAGATTAAGGGCCGATTAATGCTCCACTTCATCCCCGAAGAGCACATCATCTGCCAGAATTACATCACCAAGGTAGCAGTGTTAAGCCGAGCAGTAAGATCAATGAGCATAGATACCTGCTCACTCATTTAATTAGGCTATTCATTGGTGAGCGTACAACCAGTGCGTTGATCTATATGTTTAGATGCTTACGTGCTCATTTATTCCTGGTGAGGTAATGATTTTGTTTCTTTGTCTAATATTTTTTCTCGCAGTTGCCATAACGAACAACATTCAGTTATGTTATTGCGATCAATCTTTGATACAGTGCTATGTGCAGGATATATGATATTAGGATATTGTGATAAATGTCCCTTATAATACCTATAAAATACATCTTACATCTTGGTTTTATCTTCAAGTGATTTTCACTCTTATTTGTGTAGTTTATTTAGTCATTTTTAATTATTTTTTTTACTTATAAAATTATGCCTATAGTCTGTTTATGTCTGTCTATGACAGAGGTTATGTCCAAAGAGAGTCACCTTCATGGCCGGCATCAGTCACTCATCAGGACTCGTTGTAGCCAGTCATTGTCTGGTCACTTGCAGGACAACCCTGCATAGATTGTTTGATGGCTACAAATATGATTCATACCGTGTCTGTTGAGTAAATAGTGTGAACTCTACAGTGATCACTCAAAGATGAAATCTTCACTTACATAGCTATGTCATACTCACAAATGCTGTTATGTGTAAAATGCATTAAACACATATGATAATTTGTAACTAAATAATAGAGATGTTAAATCGTAAATAATATTGAACTTCAGATGCTGGAAATCCATGAATGTCTCATGACCATCCTTTATTAATCATGACATAATATTGCTGGCTTTGGTCAGTTAAATTATTATTTAATATGTTCCAGGAGATTTGCCTCATTCAGATTTGTTTTGTCTTTATTTGATTTAATTTGGAGGAGCAGGAGTAAATAAAATAAAAAAACAGACTTGAGCTGTAAATCAGATTTGTCTGTTGTATTCAATTTGAATAATTAATGGTATTCAACACATTAACGATGGAATACTACACTTATTTTACTGGTTAAAAGGCAGTTTTGTCCACTTTGGTCACAGTTTGAGCGGAGGGTATAAAGGAAACAAACACATGACATTCGGTAGGTGCTGTATTTTCAGAAGTCGTGTGTATTTCCGGACACAACAAACGCATACGGGGCAGGTGGGCCTGGACCATCTTTACTATTTATATTTGTCTGTCTCTGTGTAGGCTATACATTCACCCTTTTTTAACTGTCAGTGTAATGTTATGCAAACTGTACTGAGAATGTAAACTCTGGCTCTTGCATTACTGAGAGAGTAAAACTGAGAAAGTGACAAAAACATCAAGGCGACTCAACAAAGGAGGTATAACGTGTTAATTTGTGATCTTTAGGGATGCTGGTGGTCAGATTTTTTTAACCTCTGGACAGAGTCTGTTCCCCAGTCTTTATGTTAAGCTAAGCAAATCTGCTACTTTCTCCATCGACATATTTAGGCTACCGTACAGACACGAAACACAGTGGTTTGCAAGATTTTTTATCATGTTCAGCATCTCCATTTGGTGAATCACATACTGTAATGATGCAGCTACAAGATGTTTAACTTTCCACGAGATTGATTGAAATTACGAGACTGTATTTTCATATTTTAGAATTGTTCCACTTTTAATTATTTACACAAATGTCCTGTCCTGAATTCTTCAAGAACTCAAACACCAAAGAAAGGTTTAAATGTTAAATTCAAAATAAAATTTCAATTTGCCTGTATATCTGTGTCTCAACCTTGAGCCCTGCGGCTGTGATGGTTGACTCAGTCTAACCTGTCATGCATCTTTCTAATGGGGCCCAGCATGGATACACATTATTTACAGTTAATGCTTCACAGAATCAGCCCTGCACAGAGCAGCCAAGAACATCCCCACTCTCTGACTAGTAGTGAAAAAAATTAAAATTTGAAGTGTTCTATCAGCCTGTCTGTATATTTACTATAGAGGTGAGCTTCACATGTAGAAAAAAAACCAATATGTGTATCTGTCTTTGACATGCAAACAGTGTTTGTGTTAAGGGAGGAGGCTCAAAGACAAAACTACGTAATCAATGTAGATGTTGGCTTGATAATAACCTTGTGTAACCTACCTGTGTTGTGTTTACCTTCTGTTTATAGGATTATATATTATAATTATATCCATTTTCTCCTGTTTGAATTAAGATATGAAGTATATTTAATCTGTCTTTCACCACAAAATTTTAGTAGAAAATATTATTACAAAATATTATATTGAATTAAAGCATTAAGAATCAAGTATTAGCACTTCTCTAACTTTAAGATGTTTCACCACCTGAAAAGTGAGTCTAGTCGAGGTGCAGTAGTGGAGGGAGTGCCTGTGGGAGTGTCCTCATATTAAAGCAAACACCCATCTTTGCTCATCTTCACTTGTGCTTAAGATGCTCATGGCCTTCAAAGTGTCCGTCAGTTTTGCAGAAGACGATTCACTTTAATAATTCAGCTATTTAGCAGCTCTTTTTTAAAAAAACAAAAACAAAAAAACAAAACTAACAAATTCTTCTTTTTACAAAAGATCAAAACTAACCAGAAACAATGGGCTGCGTTCAAAGCTTCAGGGAATTGTGTGACCGCCAAAAAAACACTAATGTTCGCCTCAGTCTTCCAGCAGTTTGCATTGTGTGGCAAACAGCCATGATCATCTTGTTTGGAGTTTTTATTCGTTACAATGAAGAATCAAGTCCACGCTGGGTAGAGTACAGAAAAGCTAAAAATATATCAAGTGACATTGAGAACGACTTTTACTTCCGATATCCAAGTAAGTGACTTCATTTTGATTTTCTTTTTTATTCTTTTCCAAATATCTCAATCTTTTACTAATCTAGCAACCCTTAAATCTTTACACACTGACTTTATTCTATAAATTAAACATCTATATCTTTATCCATGCACCTTTCTTCACATTTATCTTTTTGTTTTATAGTTCTATTAATACTTGGCTGTAAATTGTATGTTTTCATAGTAGTAAAATGTGTTTCTACTTGAGTTACCATGTTTACGATAGTTCTCAGACTGTGTTGATCACGTTATTTCTACATTGCTGACAAGGATCTGATACCCACAGGTGCACATTTCCCCTGGGTTTTGACTCCCCTCAGGCTTTTCTTTCCAGTTTAAATGAAGCTGACATGTCAACTTTTACCTCTTTGTACCTCTGTAGGTCTGTCTGTAATTTGGGGTATGCATGTGAGTGTACAGTATGGGTGTGGTTGTACTACACACTTCCCCAACAACCCACGGTGTCGGTGTCAGGGTATCATGAAGCCATCTCAGATATGGTGTTGGATGTCAGATGATAAATGTATATCCTGACACAGTTTGTTGTCATGAGACCAGTAAGTCCTCATCCTAAAGTCATGGGACCGATCTGACTCCTTAGACCTTCTTTTACAACAAGAGACCCACAGTCGGTGTTGACAGACGTAAATGTCTGAACTGTACTGTAAAAAGTACACTCTGACTGATGTGATGTAGGATTTGGGCTGTGTTTCACAAATCCTTCTATGCAAACTATAATGTTTCACAGTGCAGTGGGAACCTATTGTGCCCTGAGGTGTGTCAGGCGGTCACAGTGTTCTATTGTAAATGATACTGGCTGGTTCATGCTGGTATCCACATACTGCTGTTTGCTGGTTATAGCAGATATTAAGAGAGCCACCTGTTCCAGAAATGGTTCAAACACTTACAACAACAGATCAAGCTCTTTGTTACCACTCTATTGTGTGTGTGTTTATTATGGTTATTATTATTATATTGGAGCTTGGGGATTAATTCTTCACTTTGGAAACAGCAACAGTTCTTTTTACTTCTAGTATTTTATGTGCCCATTATTATGCATCCAGCTATATGTCTGTATAGTTGTATAAATGTATATGTAAATTTATTTTCATGAATGCTGTAACAAAAAAATTTAATTTTTAAAACTAAATGTAATTTCAAAGATAAGTTTAGTTCCTGGAAGCTAGAGAATGGTACCTGTATAAGTACATTATAACTCTGTATCATCATAATATGTCAACATCTAATCAGAAACAGTAAACACATAATTTCCATGAGTCATCTTCACGTGATTTCCCGTTCTTATATCCTCATGTGCTTCCTTGTGTTGACGCGTTGTTAAAGCAAACTGTCAGGCATATTCATTAATTCGGTGTTTGTTTAAATTTAATTATCACATGCTGACAACATTGGATATGATTATGATTTAATTATATATTTTTTATGGGTTTTTTTTGCTCTTTTTTTTCCTTTCATATTGGAAAAAATATTCCAGAGAGCAGAGAAATAAAGCTGTTATTAGCCAAGAATGTATATTGATCGATTTGATTGGATATGGACCTCCATACTGTAAGCTTACTGCATTTGGGAAACTTTTCATCTTACCTTCTTTTTTCTCTCTTATTTTTCGCATTTATTATTTTTCTTTTTCATCAATATAATAAGTATTCATTCCTACAAGAGGTCCGTCCCAGCAAACCATGGGCAGTGTGTCAACCCAGTAACAGACGGATTTCAAGCACTACCCCAAAGAGTCTATATTCGAGTTGTCAAACCTGCATGTCCGTGGGAAGAAAGACATCCAATGAGTGGAGAACATGCCAACTCAACATAGATAGGACAACAGATTGAATCTTGATCTTTCAGTGCAGTAGGGAAACCAAGTAATTATCATCCTCCTCATCTCTCCCTTCCTCTGTCTTTGCCCTGTAGGTTTCCAGGATGTCCATGTGATGATCTTTGTTGGATTTGGCTTCCTGATGACATTTCTTAAGCGGTACAGCTTCGGTGCAGTGGGTTTCAACTTCCTCATTGCAGCCTTTGGCCTTCAATGGGCACTGCTAATGCAAGGCTGGTTCCACTCCCTAGACTACAGTGATGGAAAGATCAAAATTGGAATTGAAAAGTAATTCTTCTGTTTTATTTGTATTACTTAAAAGGATCCATTCTTCGTATCCTATTCATGATAGAAACTCCTGGCTCAATTGTTTGATATAAAAACTGTGACCAACTGAAGCAAATGATGTTGTTCAGCTCTGGTTCTTTTGTTTAATTACTAGGAAATATGTATAATGGGAATATGATTCTGTACCTGCATGGTTTTCTTAGAAAAAGGGATACAGAGTCAGGTGGAGGAACTAGTCTGACTGTCACAATCCCATAAAGACATTTCCAGGCACATAGATTTAGTGGTTGTGGACTGGGTAAACAGAAAACAATGAGAATTGATACTGCTGAAGTGCCGCCAAGTCACTGTGTCAACAGATATTAAAGGTGTATACAGTATGTGTGTAGGAGAGAAAGCAAAACAAAACTAACTAGATACATTTATCATTGCTTTAAGATAACAATTGTTCTGTAATACCTGTACTCAGACTATGGTCACACTAAGAGCCTTAGTGATACATTCTGATTATTGCTCAAATTGTTTTGGCTGTTATTATTTTTTAATTGTGACCTATATTGATTTCAGTGTGAACAGGTCACAGTCCTGAAATGGCCTGTATGACGAATGTCACAAGAAAACTGATATGATTGGTCACACTGCAAAAAATCAGACCTGTATCTGTACCCAAATCAGAACTGAAAAGATCGTATCCATGTGATTTGTGCCGTTCACGCTGTCATGAAAAAAATCTAAACTGAGTCACATATGAGCCCAAAAAATTTTTGATTCAGGCCACTTTTGCCTTCAGTGTGAATGTAGCCTTAGCTGGTTCTCAGTTCTTGAATAGCTTCATCTTTAGACAAGAATAAATACAGTATGGTCTCATTGATATATATACGTATTTGGCCAATTGATGTCAAATGATGTCCTGTTGCATTTTCCTTCCTCAGCCTCATCAATGCTGACTTCTGTGTGGCGGGCTGTTTAATTGCCTACGGGGCGGTGCTTGGTAAAGTCAGTCCAGTCCAGCTGATGGTTCTGACTTTGTTTGGGATCACATTGTTTGCCGTGGAGGAATATATTATCCTGGATCTTATACATGTAAGTCGAATCAATAACTTCAGTTTCTTTTGATATCACTTTTAAATATATTTTCAGCTGCAAAAATAAAATGGCAAATAATATCTTGTGGTTTAGAGGATGATGTTATTACAACTTATCAAACACACTAACTGTAGTTCATTTATGTGTTTATGGTTCACTTGCTTCTGAAACTGAGCTTATGCCCAGATACTGTGACAAACAGATGGGTACATTGTTTATTTTCTATCATTTATGCCACTTTGCAGCTGCTAAGTAACAACTTAGTAGCACTCCACCAGAATACACTTCTTATGGTATAAAATGGAGGAGAAATGGGGAGAAAACACAAAAAAACTGTTGATTACACTAAACATAATCTAAAATAATTTAAAGGTCTTAGATTAGATTTAGTGACATCTAGTGGTGAAGTTGCTGATTGCAAATAACTGAACACCACTCACGTCTGTATTTGCTGACCTGGGAATGAGAACGGGATGGGAAGTGTGTAGGAGAAACTACGGTGGCCAGAAAACTTGCGAAACACACAAAAATCCCTGGAAGTATAAAATCATAAAATACTGACACGCCCAAAAGGGGGAAATCCCTGTTTATCAACCACCTAGCAAACCCCTCATAATATCCTTTTGGCTGTAACTAATGTGTATACTGCTCCTACTACTAATGCTAATATTTCCTTATACCCGAAGGCCAAAGATGCTGGTGGCTCCATGGTCATCCACACATTTGGTGGTTATTATGGCCTTTCCATCTCGTGGATGCTCTATCGGCCAAACCTGGACCAGAGCAGTCGTCTGCAGGGCTCTGTCTACCACTCGGATGTCTTTGCTATGATCGGTGGGCATGATTTGATTCCATAAGGCTGTTTTTCCTCTCACGGTACTCTCCATTATAATCTGGAGGTACTCTAGATTTTTAAGGTCTACCCTGCTTTCTGCTTAGGCACCCTCTTCCTGTGGATGTTCTGGCCCAGTTTCAACTCAGCCATCACAGACCATGGAGACGGGCAGCACAGAGCAGCCATCAACACCTACCTTGCTTTGGCCGCAACTGTGCTCACTACTGTGGCCGTCTCAAGCCTCTTCCAGAAGCATGGAAAACTAGACATGGTAACAACCAGAACTTTGTTTTTTTATGTCATTATGAAGTTAAGCTATTATGTACAATGGAAATGATGATGATAATAGGGAAGTATTTATTAAATGGATCACTTTGTTGAATTGTCAGACCTAACATGCATGACTTGTGCCCCTCCTAAACAAACTAAAATGGCTTAATGGGTTGCATACTTACTACTACATACTTGTTACATACAGTGAACAAATCACTCAATAAAGAGAGGTCAAACTGATACACATTTTTTTTCCATGATGATTCATTTTCTCTGCACATTTCTCAGGTTCACATCCAGAACTCCACTCTTGCTGGAGGTGTTGCTGTGGGAACTGCAGCGGAGTTCATGTTGATGCCCTATGGGTCTCTAATTGTAGGATTCTGCTGTGGTATCGTCTCCACACTGGGATACATCTACCTCACGGTATGGTATTTTTAGATATTATGAGATAAACTTCTGTTTAGTTTTTGAAAGTGTTTATTAGTCAATCCAGGCAATTGGCTACAAAAAAGCCCTTTAAATGAAAATACAAAACACCTTCACAAAAATGTACTTACCAGTCCCTCCAGGAAGGTGCGATCACAACAGTTAATGCAAATTCAACTAATAAATTCTTTGCAACCTTGCAATTTTGTCCAGTCATAGCAATTTTTCTGCAAATTTGTTGTAGTTTCAATAAATGCAAAACGGTGAGCCGTATGTGAGCCAAACTCACTTCCTCGATTGTAATTGGGAAGATGCAGACCATGCAGACAAACGGACACAAACATCTTACATTTACCCTCCAAACAAAGAACAAGTTAGCTTTGATTTTGAATGAATTTTACAATTTTTTTCTTTTGTAAATTTGACAGTTCATTGCAAGAAAATGCCTAAAAACATTTCAACTGTTCCATCTCTCGCAGCCTTTCATGGAGAAATACATGAAGATCCAGGACACATGTGGAATCCATAACCTACATGCCATGCCGGGAGTCATAGGCGGCATTGTGGGAGCGATTACTGCCGCAGCTGCATCAGAGTCAGTTTATGGCCATGAAGGGTGAGTGGTCCTTGCCAACAGCCAGAACTCATAGCATAGCTTTAACCTTTTTAACTAAATGAATAGAAGATTATCCACCAGTAAAGGATCAGAAAAAGAAAGCAGTAATATTGTGGTCTTTTGTTGTGGTCTTTTGTTTTGAAGTATAGTTGAAGTGAGTTCCTTTTTTTGTTCTATATTAAAGGCTAATCAACACCTTTGACTTTGAGGGTGAGTTTAAAGACATGGTACCCACACGGCAGGGTGGCCACCAGGCTGCAGGCCTTTGTGTGGCTATCTGCTTTGGTGTAGGCGGAGGCATCATTGTTGGTAAGGAATAATCCCTGCAACCAATCATCTATTCAGTTTCATCATATAACTGAAAATATACAATACGTATGTAAATAAATGCGGCTGTACTGTGTTGGAATAAGATGGGTGTGTTAACAGTGACTCAGTGCGTTGGGATAATGACTTTATTTGTATTGTTCTCAGGTTGTATTTTAAGATTACCTATCTGGGGAGATGCTGCTGATGACAATTGTTTTGATGACGAGGCCTACTGGGAGGTGAGAGACGACTCTTTACAGTCATAAAGAGGTTTTTACAATTTTACACTGGGATGTCGATATCAAGTCACAATTTATCCCACAGAAATTGTGAAGCTGCACATAATGAATACCAGATATCTTAAAAATGACATATACAGTACCTTTTGATGAATCTGGAGACACTGACCTGACTGCGTCAGATGGTTTGTTACACAGAACCATCTGGGAAGTTGTTGTTGGAAAGTAGTAGTCTGCATTTGCGTATGTGTGACCGTAGCTTTTTGTGACAATCCAATCAGGAGTCCAGCTGTGATGCTTTACAAGAGATACTCAAAAGATCGTATCTGTAAAAAAAAAGTTATGAAATCAAACTTTGATTTAGAGGCTATTGCTATTCTTCTTTGGAAACATTTAACTGCTTTGTGTTCCTTACCCTGAGGCTGTTTCCACTCATTATGTACTTTAGTGAATGGTCTTCTGCCCTTCAGCCACCTCTATTTACAAAGAAACACTTAATGACACTTCATAACACATCATTTTTCCATTTTATGGCATTAGTGCACATAGCTTCATATTGTTGTTGGTTGATCATGTGGTTATTATTCTCCCCCTGAATCATTATGTTAAAACTAATTATTCACAGGTTCCTGATGATGAAGAGACCTTCCCACAAGTCCCTCAGTACAACAACCACATGCGGAACAAAGATGTGTAAGTGTCCTTTTAGTTTATCTTACCACAGTGTTCTGGTCATGGAGCTATGCTATTCTCACACCAAACAAACCATGCAGGTAGTGCCCTTGTTGTTGTGAATGTAATGCATTCAATGTCCTCTTGGTGGCAGCAGATACAAATCTGCAGTGACTACATGTGGCTCATTGTAATTCCTGCCCTTTGTTGGGAATATCTATCCATAGTGTTGGATACAGTATGAACACACGATCTGGATGCGGCTACAGATAGAATGGCGCCGCCGCAGAGGCCTGAGCCGTCACTCAGTGTGGGCTTGATTATGAAACGCTGACGTGCTCTGTGCTTCCAGGTGAAACTCACCTGTGATGTTTGTTGATAGGGGTTCTTCACAGCAAGACTCCACATGTGCAGCTCTTCAAAGTGACCTTGAAGTTGTGCAACAGAAATTATGGTTACTGTGGAAATAAAAATGATACTATTTGGGGGAAAAAATCTACTGACCAAATCTCAATAAATAAGATGTTTTTTTAATTAATGGAGGCCGCAGAAGAAGATACATGAAGTACACAGTCTGTTAATTTGAAAATACTTGATCTAATCATTTTTTGAATATATAGTGTGAGCTACAACTTTACTTAGTGTCGTTGTTTTTAACACATTAGGCAATGCTTTTTTTCTTTTTCAGAGCGGAGTCAAATTTCACCATGGAACAGAACTGACGCTAGGCCTGGATCCTGAGGGAGCTGTTTCTTTATCACACATGGCCCGTTTGTTCCTTTCAGTCTCCTGCTGGCAAAAATATTCATTTCATACAATTATTCCCCACCAATCAAAAGCAGTTCTTTTTCATACAGTGAATTTATGTCTGTTAACCGGGTGTTGTAGCCTAGAATTAAGTCTTAAAATCTTTTTTTGTTTGTTTGTTTGTTTGAAGTGAAAACTGCAAGTGGAATAAGATCTTTTCTGTTTTCCAAGATATTTATTTTCAGTTTAAATCAATTAATATTCCAATAGTTTTTATTAAATATTCTGCTAAATGAGTATCTCGGTACAGGTGGAGTGATTTGCCTCATTTTAACACTGAGAGACAGGTACATTTTCTTAGAAAAACTGCAGAATTTCTCTGTCGTTTCACATAAAACAAGATATAATGGATCAGTGCTCGACTGAAATGTGACGGTGAGAACATTACCACGGTTCCTTTAAGTGATTGTGAGAGAAATTTGCTTCACACCACCTTGAGTTGCACTTTAAGTATTTTCCACTGGAGCTTTCAAATCTTAGTTTTTCATGATTTAAATGTTTTTCTCTCTGTGTGACCGACTGCAGGTAAAATGTTAAGACTTTTGGGCGAGTTTATGCTGTCGGCTTAATTTGCTACACGTTCATTTGCATGTAGTTAAATCTTTTCCTTTATTGTGGCCATTAGATGCATTAAAACAGAATTTAAATGATTTTGTGTGTCTTCATAGATAACTTTTACACTCAGTTATTTACCAGTTAGCATTTTGCATTTAGAAGCACTACATAAACACTTAATAAATGGTATATACGACATGAAATTTTAAGCACAAAAAAGGATATTTTAAAGTGTTTTTAATATACAGTATTTGTCAACAACTATAACTTACTATGTCCTATGAACGCATATTTTATATTTGCTGTGTTGTATTATAAACCATTTATTAAATATTCATGTATCTCTTCTAAATACTAAATAAGGAGGTTAAAGTGTAGAAGATATTTTATCCACATTACTGATCTAAAAATGTATGGTTTTGTCAAAAGCTGATGTACATTTAGATGTTGTACACAGTAGAATATTTATGTCATGCTGTTTTGAAAAGTGAAGTTTGTTAATGATAATGTAATTTTGCAAATGAAGAATGAATTATTAATAAAGCATCATAATATAATAATATATGTAGTGCCCACTTCATTTAAAGTCCACAAATGAAGTCTATTTTTGTGTAAGTCAATACCTTTAACCACTTGTAGAAAATACCTTTAAATTCAAGATTAATCAATAAAAAGCTTGAGAGGTAACGTGTTTCCCTCATTTAGGTGACCCTTTGGTGTCCCCTCTCCAGCGGGGTCAGACTCAGGTTAAAAGTCACACCCTTATTGCTCTCTCGGGACACTGTGGTGACCAGAAACAAACTAGAGACCAGCCTCATCATCATGTCCTCGGGTCAAAGGGTAGCAAAAGGGCAAGGTCACTGACAGGGCTGCACACATATGCTGGAGTCAATCATTTGGAAATGTATTAACAGAGAGAGTTCCTGTGGATTTACAGGGGGCTATTTTTTTGCACATTGATGAGAAACCCTTTCAATATATGAAAGATGAACATGATGCCCAGCTGGTCCAATATTGAATGTCATTTCAGTTTATTTCTGTGTCTGATAAACAGCCCTTCTGTCCATCATTTTCTGATGACAGCTGTAATTTCCATGTGCGCTCTGCTTCCTGTCCACCTGGCTACGACGTTTCATTGGTTGTAGGCAGCAGCAGCAGCAGCAGCAGCAGCTCATAATGGGAGTGCGGATGATTCCCACACATGAGTAGTAGCGAGGAATCCATCTCCTCGTTCAGTCTCCTCGCTAACAAAGGCAGGCTTAGTGCTGTTTTCTTTTGTCATCAGTAACGTGTTTGAGTAAGGGAGGTAATGGTGCCACAAGTGCTCCAATTAAACGAGATGCAGCCCTGCTGAGAAGAAAGGCTCCCCCATTGCCCTCGATACCCCCCTAATACATCACACACACACACACACACACACACACACACACACACACACACACACACACACACACATACACACACAAACTGGGCCTCTTCTCATCCAACCCCCATGCAGTTCCCGCCCCAACTCTACTCATGTTTATTCATCAGCCACTTAAAGGGCAAATGCAGAGGCCTGTTAAAACTAAATCAGACTTATTTATTAATGATGCCAGGCCTTCCCCTCTGAGGTTGAGGGAGCCAAGCCGTATGTTGCATGACAGCCATGTTTGAAGAACTTCACCCTACTTTGGACAGATGTGACTTCCACAGGGGAAAGCACAAACTGTACAGGGACAGCAGGGGAGTAAGGGGTGGGGGGGCGAGAGGCTACAGAGAAGGTATGGAGGAAAAACTTCAGGAGGCAAGGGGGCATGAAAAGGGGGAGGGACAGACAGAGAACGAGGCCTCACTTTCATGGCTGATGACTGACTGCCTGCCATCCGGGCTCAATCATGGTCTTTGACTGACAGGTCGAGGGGGAAGGAGAGGGTGGGAAAGAGGGTGCAGGACGAGGGCTTAGAATGGGAACTGCACAAAACATCGTGCCATACGGGGGGCTGCAGAGACGCTCATTAATGATAAAGAACATACCAGGAAAAGCATGTTTTCTCTGCATGCCGGCGATGTTGTTTGTAGGTCGAGATTAGTTTGTAATCTTCTATACGTACTGATGTAAAAGGTACAGAACACTAAGTACAACGTGGGAGGTCGCATTAGAGCACCTGGTTGTGTTTTGTTTCCTTATTTTTCACCATTATTCTAAGAAAACAACATAATATGTATAATGATGCTCATGTTGCCTGCCAGTGTATTCATCAGATTGTTTTAAACTTGCAGTCTTCAGATATGTGTCAGTCAGTGCAAACCCACTGAATTCACTTTACAGTTACGAGGATTTACAGCGGTTAGAGGGGCATTCAGGGATCCATGTTCACTCCCTTATAAAGAGAGCAATAAAAGCCCCTATTGAAAGCAACCACAAGTCCATAGAACTGTTCATAAACTATTCAAGCCCTTACTCTTTTCTCTCTATACAGCTTCAGTGTCCCCTAAAGGTTACTTCTCAGCAGGTGCACCTGACTTCCAAGACATCTCTGACGACTTAGATCTGGACTGTCTTTTTGATGCCCAATTCTGGCACTTCGTGAGTGCCATAATTCCCCACCATCTGTCCTGTCATGAGTGCTGGTAAGTAATCAACATAAAGAAGCAAGCCAAGATTTTACATTAGTAACATGAAGCATATCACATGCTTATGAAATACAATGTATTGGCTCCCAACCTTTTCAGGTTGCGACCAGTGTCCATTTGGGGCCCCTTGTCACCTTGAATTGTTAGGAGTTCCACCAGAGGGATTTCCCTCCTTAAACATCTGAATATTTTGTTTAATTCACAGATAACAACAAACATGAGAGAACATTTTAAAAATGTATATGAATTTGTGTAGCAAAACATTGTTTTCCTTCTTTTCTTTAATCTTCTCAGATTTATTTGTGACCCACTCAGAGCTGGAGAGTAGTGGTGGAAGCACATTTAATCTTGATGAACATCTACTTTACTTGAGTTATACCATTCTACTCCATCACACTGTACTTTTTGCTCACTAGTTTTAATAACATACCAGTTAGGCCTACACAAGCCATTAAAACATTTGATAGTTTAAGTACATTTTCCTAACATACTTTGGTACTTTCACTAACATAAGTTTTTTGAATGAAGGACTTCTACTTGTAGTGAACTATTTGTATATTGTTGTACAGTTATAGTACCCGTCCTGGAGTAGGCTACTTCTCCATCCACTGACCATCACTTCTTTCCCTTCTGTTTGCAACCTGCTGATGAACCTCCCAGCTCTGCCCGCCCCAAGTATCCACAGGCCTCCCCAGGCCACTGACTGTCCACAGAGGCTGCTTAAGTGTCCCTATCGGACCACAGTGGAGAGGAACAGCAGATTAACCATGATCCTATCCGCTCACCGCTAGCCCCTTCATACGCTCCGTTACACCAGCATTTAAAAGGAGGAGGGGACGCCATTCAGGCCCCTGATATGAATCCCAGACGTAGGGACAAGAACAGAGCTTTCACCCACGTTCCACAGAAAAGACCCCTTTCTGACACCCTCTAATTCTGGTTGCTACGGGCTTCAGGGTTCAATGGTGGACTCCCGTTGTGAGGGGACAAAGCCCCTCAGTCATCCGGTGATGGTTGCTAGGGAAGGCAGAATGTATGGGGAGGGACGGGCTGCCGTTGTCCCAGACGAAATGTCTCTCTTAAGGCAGCCGAGATCTGGTGATTGACAGGTGGCTACACGCTCCACTGCGGATCACCCGGGAGGTCTGGGGGGCCTTATATCTGTGACTGTGTGTGTGTGTGTGAGTCTATGGCAGGTTATGTTAGTTGGCAGAGTGAACAGGGGGGTTCGGGGAATGCTAAGCATAGTAGGTTTCTACTATGAAAGTGGAACCGTTTATTACCTGTAGAGGGAGCTGCTTCTAGTAGATGTTCAAGTGTGAACATGTGACATGTTGCCCCACCATCGGGTAAGTTGTCTCACTATATGGGATAAGATGTCACAATGGATTTTGCAACTAATAAAACAAGGACAAAATTATTGTTGTTGTTCTTTTTTACTTGAAAGTGAACATTGTAGTCAGGCACAGAAAATGTTTATCATTGAGCTTGAAAAAGCCATTGAACAAACGTTAACATAAGATATTATGCAACATGCACTGGATTAAAGTCCTTAGGAACTGCTGGCACGTAGGCTATGGCTCTCAGAATCAAATGCCTGTTTTACCTTTCTTAAACTCAAAATTCCAGATTGAATTGAATTACAAAAAAGAAAGCATTGGTTCATCATCAAACTTAAACCAGTCCTGAAATGTGGACATAGTTCCAACAACAACTGGAAGATCCATTCATAAAAACTCAAACAAAACCTGACAAACAAATTTCCTAGTCGGAGTCATCATCCGCATCGCAGTTCTGGCATACGTAGACTGATTTGTCGGGGGTGCATTCTTCATGGGCCCATCCTTTGCATAATATTGTATTATATTATATATTATACTATTGTAATATTGCATAATATTATTATAATAGTGCATAATATTATTATAATAGTGCATAATATAATAATGCACTATAATAATAGTGTTAAAAAATTGCAGGTCAACATATGCAGTGCATTTTCATCACAAATGTGTGTGACAACTATAACCCCAAAATGACTGAGACATGTTGCCCCAAACTACCATGTTTGCTAACACTAGCTCTATCTTAAAGTTAGCTTAAAACAGAACAGGATTAGGATTTTTATCTGAACAAAGCTTATTCTGAAATATATAAAGTTGATATTTTTTATTTTGGGTTGTGCAAAATGGTTACTTGGTGCTCATCTCAGCTCACAATATGCTATCCTCTTCTCAGACAGGACATGACACCTGACCATGTAAAGGAAGAAAACTAGTATTCCACTTTTTAGTTGCGCCCCTTGGTGGAGAAGATAATTGCAATGTGACAACTTACCTGTGTGACAACAAGCCCCGGTCTCCCTACTGTGTTGGTGTCTTTGCCTGTGAGTCTGGTAGTCAGTTGTGGAAGAAGTACTCAGATGCTGAACTGACGTAAAAGCACGAGCACCATGTCAAAACCCTTCTTAAAGCCCCCCTCCAGACCAAAAGATGTTCTTTTTTCTTCACTTGGATGTTTGAGCTTCACTGTGCTCAATGATGCAGCCTATGTGCAGATTTCGACACTAGGAGACATTGAAGGGATAAAATGTTTCTATGCTCACCTCAAATCTAAGTTTAATTTAGGTATACAAGCCGGATCTTGTGACATTGCAGCTAGTTTGAAAGCCAATCGTGGTCCAATATGCTATAACTTAAAGCCTCCAGGTCACATACACTGAGAATGGACTTTATAGTAAAGTAGTTGTGGCTTAAAGTTAGATAAACTTTTGAAAAGAAAAATATATACATTTTTATGAATTCACTTTCTTTGAGGAAACTTTAATCAGGCACAAATTATTATTCTAAGCAGAGTATTTTTCTGTCTGGAGGTGATCTTTAAGTAAAAGTACAGAAGGATTATCAGCAATACCAACATTATTAGATTGTTAATACTGATACTG